ACACAAACTTGACTTTATATATTTGGTGATAGATTAGATATATCCAGATTTTATGTTCCTTAATTACTTTTTTGATAGATAGGATTTGCATGCGTACATTGCCTCCAAGTTACGTTAATTAATCATGAAGTTTGTTGGTCCAAGTTCCGCACTCGGGCCGTATTGAATAATTACTGTATCATGCTTGTTTTTTTTTTCCCTTCTTTTTCAATGTTTGGCCGTTGATTGAAAAGTAGTAAAATATCGGAAAGAATCATTTCGTACGAAAGTGGGGCTACTCGATGTGTGAACACATTCATAAGTGAGAGGGGTCTGACTTCTTTCTTCTTAAGTTGATGCCGCTTAGAGCAGCCGTACGAACGAATTATGAGCTTCTTCTACAAAAAGAATTTCGATCGATGTCAAAGCGAGAGCAAGATGGTGCTTTCAGCATATGCGAGAAGTAATAATCATTGGAAAATGACAGGAATAGAGCACCATAAAGGTCATCTAAAAGCAACAATATTCTTGGGGAAAAAGCAATGTGAATTGCAAGACAGAAAATAATCTTGACAATGAAGTTATGATCATTAGAATTAAGCATGTTAATTTCATGACATATAGATTTCGCGAATCAATCCAGCTAGGGGTTATGAACTTATAACACTCGCAATACATTCCTTATTCTAGTTAATCAGCTTTATTATTTCGCACGTTGGAAAATTCCTGAAGGACCTGAAGTGATAGTGACCGTGATGTCCACATATACCATGATCTCATGAGTTGTATTAGGAATCTGAATCCCGTCAGATCTAGAACCAAACTTCGGCGTCACAACACTCATGCAGATACTGTGGTAGTTCTGGATTATTTCGAGGATATAGTTAACAACATCGTGATCCTTCTTTATCTCCTTGATCGCAACTTGAAAATCTTTTTACCATAAAACTGTACATACTCGCACACAATGCGAAATCTCTATTGTCGTTGTTGCTGAGAATGTTGTTAAACGGAGCTAGGCTTACATTCGCCTTTTCTGTTGCTGAGAATGTTGTTATACGGATGCTGATTGGGCAGGATCGACGGATGATAGACGCTCGACATCTGAGTATTTCACCTTTGTTGGGGGAAATCTAGTAACGTGGAGAAGCAAGAAGCAGAATGTCGTATCAAGGTCAAGTGCAGAAGCCGAATTTAGAGGCATGGCACTCGGTATTTGTGAACTTTTGTGGCTTAAGTTTCTATTGCAAGATGTGGGTGTCAAACAAGGTATGCCTATGAAGTTATTCTGTGACAATAAATCTGCACGGGATACTGCTCATAATCCTGTGCAACATGATCGGACCAAGCATGTAGAGGTTGATAGGTTTTTTATTAAAGAGAAGCTAGATAATAAAGTAATTTAGGTTCCTCCCATAGGAACGGACGACCAAGTAGCAGATATCCTCACAAAGGCGGTTTCTAGTAACAAGTTCTCCAGATTTCTAGACAAGTTGGGCATGTGCAACATCTATGGACCAACTTGAGGGGGAGTGTTGACTTGTATTAGGATTCCTATAATTGTGGGATTCCTACTACAATTGGTTTCCTAGTTTAGGATGTAATTATTATTTCCCTTATTCTTTCCCATATTTATTCTTTCCCATATCTGTATAGGGTTGTATATATACCTTGTTTTGATATGAAATAAATATTCATTGAAAAACATTCTTTCTTCTATAACACTCGCAATACATTCCTTATTCTAGTTAGTCAGCTTTATTATTCCGCACGTTGGAAAATTCCTGAAGGACCTGAAGTGATAGTGACCGTGATGTCCACATATACCATGGTCTCATGAGTTGTATTAGGAATCTGAATCCCGTCAGATCTAGAACCAAACTTCGGCGTCACAACACTCATGCAGATACTGTGGTAGTTCTGGATTATTTCGAGGATATAGTTAACAACATCGTGATCCTTCTTTATCTCCTTGATCGCAACTTGAAAATCTTTTTACCACAAAACTGTACATACTCGCACACAATGCGAAATCTCTATTGTCGATGTCGCTGAGAATGTTGTTAAACGGAGCTAGGCTTACATTCGCCTTTTCTTTTGCTAATTCAAGGGTGGCTATACCAACATCATTGAGATTCGATGCTGATTTAATTCGAGCATCTGGCCAGAGAGCCTTCATGCATACACGATAGTTTCGGATTTTGTAGTGTAGAACATCCTTGCAAACACTACTAATTAATGGGGAAACTGTTGCATTTACAGGTGCAGGAGAAGAGAGGAACAAGAGCAAGGAGTGCATACTTGTGGTGGTGGGGAGTTCATATTGGGAAATAAATTTCTCTGTGACTAATTAAGAAGGCTTAAAAATACAAAGCTAATTATTTGCTTGGGGTTGAAGTAGCCAGTTTTTTTAGTACTATTTATAAGAAACCCAGGCTAGTATATGAGGTATATGGGTCTAAAATTACGTGCATAGAAGGTGGGGAACCATATACTTCAATAGCGTTGATGAAACTGTCTCATTGTTTTTTTCCCTTTTACTGAAGCTTCGAATAAAAATTATAAGAACAATGATGTAAAAAGATACACATCTATACTTCATAACTTTAAACGGTTAAATTTTTTGTTAAATATACAATAATCAAAATCTAACAGTTAAAACCCCGTCATGGTATAAGAACAAACTTAGGACTTAAAGTCGATCATCCCCATAGCAGTATCCAAAAAAAAAAAAAAAAAAAAAAAAAAAAAAAAGCACGTCTTGAAAATTGATCAATGTCAAAGCCATTTATAGAACTCAAACTTAGTGTTAGGGTCAAATACACTGGGCATAGCCTTCAAATTTCTGATTTCCCCCTCAAAAAACCGAAAATCGAACCGAATCGAAGTAAAAAAACATCGAATTAAAACTGTTAAACCGAATCAGGCCAAACCAAAGTATTGTTCAAACAACATCGTTTTATAATTAATTATAAATTAATATTTTTATTACTATGACGGTGTCGACCTCCTTTCAATCTGAAAGGTAACCCTTACCCTTCCCCTGTACTCTGTAGTCTGAAAGGTGACCCTTCCCAAGTTCCCAGTTCCCATTCCCAGCCTCCGCCACTCCGCACACCTGCGACCTGTCTTCATCTTCTTCCTTCCCAGCGACCTGCGAAGGTGCGACCCGTCTCACTCTCAGTCAGTGTCGCCGTCTCACTCTCAAAATCTCACCCCCGTGACCCGCGACCTCCTCTCGACGTTTCCAGTCTCGACCCACGACTTCCTTTGCAAGGTTAGTCAGTCAGTCTCTCATGTTGTACAGATTTTCTTTGATAGTAATGCTTACTATTGTTGTCAATTAGAAGCATCTGATGGGTGAGGAAGGGGTTGTCAATTAGAAAAAATGTGAGGTTTTGATTTAAGGGTTTGTAATCATTGGCTGTGCATCTGATGAATCCTGACAAGGAGGTGCTTCTACTTTCGCTGCAGCAGCCTGAAGAAAGTTAAATTTTTTGAACAAAGCAAGGACAAAGCAAGTTTCTGTGAAAATCATCGGGCCAAATATATATGTATAATTAGTCACTAATTTTCAGAAAACTTACTGAAGAAAATCAAATATAATATTGGATTTATTGGAGTGCTAATTAGAATTTCATAATTATCATTTCTTAGGTTTTGGGGTGCCAGATTTTTAACAGAAACATAAATATGTAAGTAATATATGTAAAACATCATCAAATCCTTAATTCCCATAAATTTCATTTCTTGATATACACACGCACATAAATTTTCAGATTTCAATTTTTTTTTTTTTTCTTGGAAAAAAAAAAAAAAAAAACCGAAGAAAAACCTAAACCGAACCGGACAAAACTGAACCGAAATTTCGGTTCGGTTTCGGTTTTGGCAAAAAACCAAACCGTTTTGAACCCAACCCAGCCCTACAATAAATACCAGATTTTGATCTGGTTGTCATAGGATGAATGTTAGTATCAGTACTCAGTAGCAGTGATGTTAGTATCAGTACTCTGTAGCAGTGTTGGAGACTGAAGGGCTTGGATGCCTTTTCACCCTAAAAGCCCGAATTTATGCACACGCCACAAACACCCTGTAGGGTTTAGGAAGGAAGCAACTCAAAAAGTAAGGACACGCCCCCAATGGAGGAAAAAAAAAAAAAAAAAAAAAAAAAACAAATTAGGGCCGAGAAACAGAGGGAGTGATTCTACAAATTATGCATCACGATCTGGCTTCATATTTCAAATTTTGAGGCTGAGAGACGGTAAATCCGTATAATCAAACTATAAATTAGATAAATTTAATTGAAGATGAGTTTAATAGTTTCAGTTCAGGCATGGCTTTGAATTTCTTTATTTCTTGAATACATGATCACATTGTTGATTGGCATCGTTTATTTCTTTCAGATTTGTTGATTATATCCAAACGCTAAGCGAAGCTCACAGGAGCCGTTTCCCTTTGCTTCTTTGGCTATACATGGTTAGAGTGTTTGGAAATTTTCTTATGCCAATTTCGGAAAAATGAATATGCCAATATTGTTTACTTGGTATAATGGTGATTTGTGGAATTGTCTAACGTGTCCAGTCAGTGTAAAAGAACATATATAAGTGTAGTCTGATTGTGTTGGAATCTCCAGTTATCAATTGTAATCTGCGCAAAACCAGTGTCATTCTAGAATTCATATAGCTGACCCCACTTAGTGGGGTGAGGCTTTGTTGTTGTTTTAATTGTAATCTGCACAGGTGTATACTTTCGCAAACTGATCGGTCACTGCTGTTCTCTGAGCTAAGTAGAGGCGGTGGAGATGGCAAACAGTAAATACGAGTATGTCAAGTTGTATGAAGTAACGACGAGGTTTTCCTGCCCAATTTGATCATTGTTCGAATTGATGGTTGTGATTTTCAAAGGTGCTTACTACTTTCCTCACTCCTTGCCTCTGTGTGTTTGTGTATGAGTTTGAGACGATGTGGATGGTGACATGCTCCTTTTTCTTTTTATGTTAGGTTTTCCCAAGTTCATGAATTTCAGAAACCAATGACAATGGTTCTCCTGTCAGGAGACTTAGGAGAAAGTCAAGCATAGTCCATTCAAAGAATATAGCCGACAGAAGGTTTTGGAACAAGCACGCCCATCTTCAGAAGGAACTCGGTAGCTTTACAAAGGATATTGGAAAAGTTGAACCTGATTATATTAGGTCCTTCCAGTTTGAAGACAAACTGATCCCGTCAACATGGGTTGTAGTTAGGATCGATGGTTGCCATTTCCACAGGTAAACTGTTACGTGTCAAGGGAACGTAATTATGATTGTTGTTACTGTGTCTGTCTTCACTTGGGCTGCTAATTATTAGGGTGGTGGAGTCACCTTGTGAGATATCCTAACAAATGGTTCCAATCATAAATCTAAATAGGTTATAAAAACTTGGATTAGAACACTCTGTGAGGATTCCCATGTTATTATCAAGTGGGTGCAACTGAAGTATTACGTCCTTGTTATTTCATCCGTAGTGCAAATCAGACAGCTCTTTTAAACTTGTTTGTCATTCAGCTCATTAAGTACAAGGAACAAGAATGAGTAGTCTCGGCTTTAACAAACTAAGGGATGCAATTTTTCTGCGACACCGCAATTAACTTACAACTCAGAATAATCAAGTTTTCTTTATGGATGCATGTGATTTATGTTATTATCTCGAAAGAATCTAGAAATGATTCTCAGTTGTTTGGTTTTGGAAGGTTTTCTGAAGTTAATGAATTTGTGAAGCCGAATGATGAGCAAGCTATCAACCTTATGAATTCTTGTGCAGTGGCTGTTTTAAAAGAGTTCCAAGACTTGGTTTTATCTTATGGAGTCAGTGATGAATACAGGCACAGAATATGTTTCGTATCTGAACTTTGTCGTCTATATCATTATCATCTGTAATCTCATTTGTCCTGTTATTGCAGCTTTGTTTTGAAGAAGGATTCTCAATTCTGTCAAAGGCAAGCCAGGTTTTGCGTCCGTCACCGTTCTTATTTCATAAATTTCGTATGCTAACTGGATACACTATAATACTGTTTTCACTGGTTTACGGAACATTATTTCTCTGCCAGGGTCCTTCATAATGCTTATGCTTGAATCACTTTTCTTCCCTGCAAATCAGATCGATGTTTCTTACCTATATTGGAATTACTAAAAGTTTGCAGTGAGATTGTTTCTGTTCTTGTGTCATTCTTCACTTCCATGTACGTTATGAAATGGAAAGATTTCTTCCCGCGGAAAGAGTTGAAGTACCCTCCTTGTTTTGACGGGCGTGCTGTCTGCTGTCCGTCATATGAAATGGAGACAAGTCGATTGTGAGTATTCAGCTCTAAATGTTCCAAAACATAATAGGATTAAGTCTTATCATTCCTAATACGTAAAATCTCGAAGCAATACATGAGTTCAAATTTGTTAAAGGCGGTAATGGTATTGGACTTACATTTCTTATGGGTTTCAGGCCACATTAACAACCAATACAATACTTGTTTCTGGGAGCTTGTTAAGTCTGGAAAAACAAAAACTGAAGCTCAGAACGCCCTAAAGGTATATGTTGTAGTTAATCCAAAATCCGTTTTATCGTATTCTCGTCGTTGCCCTCTCGTAATGTTTTCGAATTTGAATTGCAGGGTACTCAAACAGGAGACAAAGAGAAATTGCTTAGGCAATTTGGTATCGAGTACAACGAATTACCGGTCATGTTCCGCTGTGGATCCTCTGCTTTCTGGGGCACCACAAGGATAGACAAAAACGGAGAATGTAATGGGAATTCTGGGAAAAGAGTTGTTGTAGAACATTGTACTATTATTGAGCCAAGCTTTTGGGATGCACTCCCAACAAATCTTTCTGGGTAACTGCTCATGCCGCCAAGCAATGGGGGTCCATTTTTTTAGCCATTGAACGTTCTACTTTTTCCTGAGCTTTACAAATTGACCCGGAAATTTCCGGTAACATCAAAACCGCAAAGGCTCAGGAAGGGCATGACTAGGAGCGAAACTTACAAATTATCAAACATAAAATGAAGCAAAATCTAGAAGGCAGGACAATGTGGATAACATGCGAAACACCTAAAAGTAATCGCATCAGAAAAGTTTCATTTAAGTGTTCAGAATTTATCTCCGCGAACAGCAGTTGCCATGCCAACTAACGGTGCATCAAAAGACTTGAGTAAACTCTAAGGTCCATTGCTCAACTCTTCCAAGGAAATATTTCCACAATTGTACAATCTGAAACGAAATTATTACAAGTCCAACCTGCATTGTCTATTTCTTCTTGTTGATATCCAAGTTCATCTCCTGAAGGTTCAGCAACAGATCATCCGAGTTCAAGAAAACTTTGTTTGCTGAATTTGAGATTGTATGTGCAATCTCTCTGGCAGCTTCAATCTTCCTCAGTGTTATAAATGCCGGATTGTTCGCAATAGCTTCACCAATCAGCTTGGCACTAGTGGCCTCTCCCTGATCAACACAGATAAATGATTTAAGCAAAATAAAAAGGGGAACACCAATATTCATACAGGAATATTGCGATACTATGTCCATCTTATTCTTTACCCTTGGATGTAACTGGTTACATGTTATTTTATTCTATAATCTATATTGGTTCATGCAACATGGCTTTCCCATAACTTTCAGCGAGGTATACGCTTAAAAACCAATAGTTTCGGTTTAACGGCTGGTAAAATTGCAATTAAAGATGAGTAGATATTATCTATTTTGAGAATGTGTTATAACTCACCTCTGCTCTGATGATAGCACTCTTCTTGTCTTGTTCAGCCTTGTCCACAACAAACTTAGCTCTCTCAGCTTCCTGTGCAGCCACTTGTTTGGCCTCAATTGCAGCCGTGAACTCCTTCCCAAAAGTGAGGGTGGTAATTGACACATCATCCAGCGCAATGTTGAAGTTGGCAGCTCTTTCTGTCAAAATCTTCCGTATTTCCCTACTAACAGTCTACAAATAAAAAGGACAATCAACAATACGGAAACATATGAACTTCTACCTTTTCATCTAAATAACCATACAAGTAGATAAGGTATGAAAAACGCGGAAGAAACTTCAAAGTGACTAGTAAGGAAAACGAAGACGTGTATACCAAAAGCGTTGCTCCCTACCTCTCTCTGAGTAATGAGTTGACTAGCATTATACTGTGCAACAACAGCTTTCAAAGTTTCATGAACAATAGAAGGAAGGACTCTCTCATTGTAATTCTCACCAAGAGTCCGATAAACTGTAGGCAGCTGGTCTGGTAAAGGTCGAGTAAGCACTCGAAGCCCAATTTTCACCTGTACAGCACAACGAGAAAACCAAAATTAAACATTGAGGACGACAACTGCAGACAATATTGACTGAAATAACAAAATTATATCTATTATTAACTTGTTGACGAGTATTTCCAGATGAAAGGGCTTTTTTTTAGCATGGGATACAGGTTTATGCATATGCAACCACAATTTAAAAAAAAAAAAAAAAAAAAAAAAATAGTTGAGCATATATCTCAAACAATGAAGTTGTCAAAAATCCATGTCACTCTAGGGAAGAAAAAAGAGATCAACCATTTGGAGATCACGGCTCCCAGAAGTACTCTCCACTAGATGAGGTCGTGCACGGACATCATAAATGATTGGTCTCTCAAACCATGGAATGATAAGATGTGTCCCCTCCGGATAAACCTGAAACGTGAACCATTAGTATACTATTAAAAAAAGCCAAAAGCCAAAACGTTTTACAACATATTTATATTGAAACAATAAATGAACACATTCTTAGACCTAAAAGATGTTTCGCATACAAACAGTAACTCTACATCTGTGTTAGATTCATCCTATATGGTAGACAAATTAAGCACATGACTTGGGAAAACCCCATTAGTTTTATAAATGGAGTGGCCAACCTTGTTTACAAAAAATTGTCTAACAAACAATACAATCATCCTGGACAGTTTCTCTTATCATTGTTACCCCAGGAAGTCTGCTATTGCCTCTATGAATTTAGTTATTAATGGCCAAGAGCTTCCGGGTGACCTTTTTGATCAAATTAAGCCATAATAATACTACATTTTAAAAAAGAACGTCGTTCAGAAAATCAACTGAAGTGTGGATCATATTAGCACTCAATCGTGGAATAAATTAGTATCTCGTTAAAATAACCCACATGCAAATATCATTTATATTCTTCTACTCACAGAATTGCGTAGGAAGAAAAAAATCACAAGACGAAAAAGACGTTTTTGCAAAACAAATAAAATGACATGATGGATGGCGAACCACGAAATGATTGAGACGAACAAATGCAATAATACAGATTAGACCTATAACCTTGTCTTTGACACCGACTATACGGTTGAACACAATGGCTCGATGCCCTCCCTCCACATTGTACAGACTGTTGGTAGCTCCGTACAAACCAAGCCCACCAATTAGCAAAGCAGAAATTGCACCACCACCGGGAACTTTCGGAACCTTAACGTTAACGTTCTTGAAATTCATACTCCTTCTCGCTGCGAAAACATAAGGAATTGAAGAAAATACCAAATTGAACAAAAATAAAGATTCGGGAACGAAAAATGTCAAGCAGCAAAATAGTCCATTCGAAAACAAAAATCATGGAAGAAAAAAGAAAAATCAATATAAAATTGAAGCAATTCAGGCATTGATTAAATTTGAGCAAATAAAAAGGCGGAGCTGCGAGATCTGATTCGATCCCGAGCCGCAAATGGTTGGGCGGAGGGTGGCAACATAGAATATCATCTAACAAAGAAGAGGGAGGTGGAAGACGAGTGAGACGAACCAGTGAGAGGTGAGGAGCGTGGCGGTCGTGACGGTGGGGATTCAGGCCCCAGTAGCAGACGCAAGGGTTTAGGGTTTACAGGCGACGAGCGAGAACTGGAAAGGTTTAAGCCGTCCCTTCAGACTTATAAAAGGCCTAGAGTGTTGGCCAAGTTCCATCTCCACAGCCCAACATTTTTAAGGCCCGTTATCCCATGTTTTTTTTTTTTTTTAGACTTTTTAATTAAAATGATCTTTGAGATTTACATAACTTCTAACTTTGTTCCTGAGATTTGAAATCAATATGGCTCATCATCAATCATTTTGGTCATCCCATAAAAAATCTCCACTCAATAAGATTAAATGACAAAATTACCCTCAATTTTTTGTCAAATCATTTTGGCATATTGTTTGTTAAATTGAGGGTATTTTTATCATTTTGATCCTCATTTAACATGATTTTTCATGAAAAGACCAAAATGATTGATGGTGGACAATCTCAGTGACTGCTTCTATTGATTTCAAATCTCAATGACCAAAGTAAGGAGTTATGCAAATCTTAGAGAACATTTTGGGTTAAAAAGCCTTCTTTTTTTTAATACAACAATATTCTACTATAAAAAGAGCAGATATTCAATTTTAAAGAGAGGTAAATTGGGTTAAGCCACACAATTAGGTATCAAACCCAAGACAAATATAATGCATCATCATCGTTCACGATAGTCAAACCTGAAAAATCCTACTTACAAATATAGAAAAATATTATTAAATCATAGTATTAGTTAGTCTTTTGTCCACTTAATTGTAAATGATTTTAAAAACTCAATTATTGCCTACGGTTTTTAGTTCCCTTTTTTTTGGGCAAACGTTTTTTATTTCTTTGTTATGGAGAATTAATCTCATAGCTAAGGCGGAAATTCAATTACTTATGTAGCTTTATCTGTTTGATTTGATTTGGAAGGTGTTATTCACACCAATTTTTACCTCTAACACGCACATCTCAATATCTAGCAATCGGATCAAATAAAAGAGATGTGTAAATAACATTACTCTTTGTTGTTGCATTTTTTTGTAGGTGTCATGGTATGTGTTTTGTAGGGGATGTCATGGTTGTAGATGTAGGAACTTGGAGCTACGGGTATGTTGTTTAGGAAAAGGATCCTCGCAGGATCCTTTTCCTGAAGATCCAGAAGATCCCATGATCATAACCGTTCATCGTACATTATGAGGTCAATTTTGGTTAGTTACCATTTAAATTTAATTTTAAATTTTAAATTTTAAATAATTTCTAACCGCATGATGTACAATGAACAGTCATGATCATGAAATCTCCGGATCCTGTTGAATAAATTCGTGCAAATACTTTCAAAACGAGACGACGGAAAAGGATAAATTTGATACATTCATCTCCTTCACCGAAACAACGAAAAATGAACTTCTTTACATATGGCTAAGAATCCATACGGTAATGTCGATTAATTCTACAAGGATCTACTGAAGCAAAATGAGTTGCACAAAAAATGGGTGCAAAACGATTGGATGATAAATTAAAAAGAAAGAAAAGAGTATTTCTACACAAACAAACTAATATATTTTCCATACGAACGAACACATGATGAACCATCAAAGATAGCCACCACATTCCAATTCCATCGAATATCGTTGTCTTTGGTGTTCCTGAAAATTACAAGGCCAAAGGTCGGTCATATACGTGTCTATGTTGTAACTTCACTTTCTGACAGTACTTGCCTTTTCTACGTCCAAGGCAAGTACCGTGAGCCTGAGGCAATACATGTCTTCAACGCAAAAAATTTTATTAATTCGAAAAGGTCGTGGGAAGAATACGCAAAACCATCAACCCGAACAGGTGTTGCACGCATGTTTATCTGGTTTTGGAAAACATTAAAAACTTTGGAACTCCTCAGAGATTAGAACAACCAGCTAAAACACCTTCAGAAATGCTTACGAACTGAGATAGTAAGTGCAGAACTAACCTTGTCTTAAAAAGTTCGCACAATTCCAATTAGGCAATACCAATTAATGTTCTAAGCACTTGGGGAATTGGATTCAAGTTTTGACTTCACTTCGCCTAGGCAAGCTTCAAGATCCCGATATTCTTCCATCTCCACAAAACTCCCCGCCTGAAACACCCAAATGTATTTATTTAGTCAAAACATAGACTCCATTATTCAAAGTCAATTTTTCTCAAATACCAAATATCTTGCCTGTCTAATTATGTTCTTTAGGTGCATCTCAGCTGCAAGAAGTTCACGACGGCTACCAGTAGACACAGAAATTTCCGCATACACCTTGCAGAGCTCCAAGGATGATTGAGCAAACTTTTTAAATCGATCTTTATCTTTCCACAAATCAGATCCCTGACAGTAAATCATTGTGAATATGGCACTGTAACTGGTTTTGAGATTTGCATTTTCTAGAAGAAAAAAAAATATAAATAAATGAAAAAGGAAAACATATAAATCAGAATAAAAAGAAATTCCATGTTCATCACAGCATGCAATGCGCTTACCCACCGTGAACTAATGAGTAGAACTTTATCACATATTTATGTATCATTTTAATTGTTTTATTTGTTTTTCCTACAAAAAATTGTGACCTGTAAAAATCCACATGCTTCTGAAACTAGTCTTTCCAAGAATTTTATAATGCTCTAAATAGTGAGTACGAGACCATACAAAATGTGTCAATGCACATGGCTCACTCTTAACAATGCCACAGTTTTAACCTTGGTTTGTTTTTGTATCAGTAGTTGTTATACTCACTCTCCGATATATATAAATAAATAAATAGAGTGTTACTAAGATCAATCAGGAAAGGAAGGCTGAGATAACCAACAGACGCAAAGACACTGCAAGTGTTTAACAACTTCCCCACACCTGTAGAAATATTTTCGGTTTTACAACCATATCCTACTTACTAACCCATTTTCAGTATAAAGCACTAAACTTAACGTTAGATAGAAAATTAAAACTAGAAAGCCACTGCCAACCTGGTATGATCTAACTTGCTTTAATAAAGCTTCCGAGCACATTGTCAGGTCTCCTTTCATTTTGTGCCACCGTGCATACAATCCCCAAATATCTGCTCCATTTCCACTTTTAACTACCTACAAAAGGGGAAAAAGATGAAAATATTACATGTTTTTTATTGGAAACTTAGTACTTAATCACCAACCAAAACAAAACTCATTGCTTCTTCTTCAGACATAAAACTCGCGAAAACACTATCAGACAGATGGACAAAGAAAAACAAAACTAAAAATAATAAAAAATAAAACAAAATCTTGAAGGAAACTACATAGAAGAAGATAGCTTGATAATTCAAAAAGCTTTGAAATAGATATTGTGCAACTGTTCTATACCATTTGATTGGCACACTCCATCCAACGTATACATATTAAAAAAATAAACCCGGAGTCAAATGCCCAGAAATTTCTTATTAGTAAAGTTACACACCCTTGAGAGAGAGTGTGGGCGCTAAACTCTTATTAGTAACACATCGACAGAGTATGGAGAGCCCATATATATGACTCGTGTATATCTAAATATGCCAGAGATATAATACCCCATCTCTGTAGCAAGGTGCCCTAACCTTACTGGCCTTCTCATTTTCTATGCGAACAAAACAAAGAATTACACATCCTACACCCCAAATCGTAAACTATAACTTACCAACTAGTACTATGGTCTAGTAGTATTCCTCCCCCTTTAAGGTCTCGAGTTCAACTCACAAGGATGGCGAGGACGTGTTATACTGTGATGAGTTTGATACAGTGGCTGGCCCATTGTGTAGCCTAGCCCAATCCCCCTCGCTTAGAGTAGAATATCCCCCTACCCTTAAGAGTAGAATATCGTTGTATCAAAAACTATAATTAAGTTAACCTATGTTAAAATCCGAAATAATTGCCAGCCCACTTCCTACTTAAGCTTTTGAGAATAGAAGAAAAAACAAGATTTACATCCGGTATCAGAGCAGACTTTCACCTCTCTGTAATAAGATTCCCACTATAAAGTATAAACTGAATTTGACATGTTTGACCACCAAGATATGGAGAGGAACCAACATGTGAGGCAAGTATTAGTAGATAAAATGACAGTTAGACCTTGGTCAACATCATAACAACTAAAATTTAGAATATAGTGCTAAACCAACCATGACAAGCAATAACAGATGCCAGTAAACTGTCTTTGACTCTATTTGTTTCTCTTCATACAAACATATACGGTAAAAATTTGGGTGGGGAAGCATAAGCAAAAAACATGAAATTATATTAATGTAAGTCATACCTTCTGTAAAACTTTTCCGAGGAAATCTACTAAGTGTTTAATTTCCCGAGATTTTGCAACCTCAGATTCTGCATTTGATAAACCATTCCAAATATTTATTTGAGAATTTAGAGAACACTCTTGATTGGGAGATATATTTTCATCCATCATTGCCGGAGTTGTATTTGAAGACATTCTTTCCACCTCAGCCACAACTCTTTCCATAAATTCAGCATCAACTCTTTTATTATTAGTCATATCCAAGACCATCTGCACAGCCTCTAGAGCCTATAACAAACAATAAAAAAAGTAAGAACAGCTGAAAAGTAATACAGAATGATGGGAGTAATAACCATCCACACAAAGAAAACTGAAAGCGACAAAAGGATATAACAATGGAAGCCCTAAGATACCCAAACAGTGAATGTGAAAAGAAGGATTATAGATTTAATCTGAGTTATTTAATATTTATAGAACTTAAGAGCTTTTGTATTGAGTCTGATAATCATTCTCATCAAGGTGCAGTTTTAATTACAGAAAGACTTGCCATATCACTTTAGAAAAAAAGAAAGAAAAACCCCAGTTTTTTGTATTTTCCTCAATATTTCTTGTCATAGCACTTTCCAATGAACAACCTATGAAGGCAAGCTTACACAGCTACGTCAAGTAAAAATAAATATGCTACTTCTCCAAACCAGACAATTACCTGACCAATATTGCCAACGTCTAAGGCAACATGACTGTAGTTCTCCCAAAGTTGCCAGCTGTTTCGCCTGCCACAAGTCATGTTCAGTCAGCACATAATCCAAACTGTCAATGACAAATAAAAGTTTTCACAAGTTTGGATTTTTTTTTTTTGGGGGGGGGGGGGGGGGGGGAGGGAAGGAAATGTGAGAGAGAGAGGAGAGAGTGATATAAAATAACAGTTTAGTCAACAGAGAAAGACAGAACTTGAACTTCAGGGCTTCTCTAAAGGCAACAAAGGATTCTTTATTCCTCTTTTTTATCATATGCCTGCAAAAGTGGTACAGCAAGAGGAAAACAATTAGTTTTAATGATTTTCCAAAATAATAATCAATAACTAATACATCATTACCGCTGTTATATTCATCATTCATTATTCCATTTATATTGCCTAGAAGAAAATGTTTTATGCAATGTTTCGCCAATATTTCCTAGTTTTAGACATTGATCAAAGACATGAGCTCCCATTAAAATCAAGATGTCCAATTCCAAGATAAGATTTGTACATAAAATATGATTCAAAAGCTCAGAAGGGCTTCAGCACCCACAGTAACCGTAAAAAGCAAACACTAAAATGTTATGACAATATTAAGCAAGGAACAACAAACAAAACCAAAGAGGGCAACTTAAGAGTGGAATGTAAGACAGTAAGGTGAAGAAAGCATACAAGCAAGCAATATTATTCCATGCCTCCCCGTTTTCAGGATCAAGTTGAACAGCCCGAGTAAAGGCATCCAATGCCTTTTCAGTATCCCTAGCCTGTAATATCCCCTCAGCAATAAGTTTACAACTTGTAGAATGGAATAAAGATAAAAAGAGAATATACAGTATGACTCTTCACATTTTCATAGATCATGACAATCTATAAAGAGAATATTAATGGAAAGTGATAAGGCAACATTTCATGGATCCCATAACTACCTTTAATGCAGCAGACCCAAGTGCAAACCAGCCATCAGGATACAAAGAATTCAAGGACATTGCAGACTCCCTGGAAAATGACATGCAGAATATGATTGAACATCTAAATCAATTATGAAGTACAAAATTCTCATATAAACAATTCATTTCTTTCACATGAGGGCAGTGAGGAGGACGAAGGATTTAAAAGGAAAAAAAAAATATACCATAAGGTTTTTGAGATTTCGTAATCCCCTCTATTGTATGCACTACGAGCAAGAGACCGCTGTCAAATAGAAAAGAAATATTAAAAATCTATAAACATAATAGTAAAAATGTTTATTATACAGACAGAGTTCATGACCTAACCTTTGCTCGAGCAGATCTATCATTTGAAACTTCCAAGGCTTTTTCAAAGCAGGCATCATCATTAGTAACATCACCCAATGAGCACCTACACATTATTTCCAAGATGGAAGCAATTTGCTTTAGATATTCTGTCATATAAATACACAGATAAGTATAAATAAATAAAAACTACTAAACGAACTAAGCAAACGATTAATCGCATGCATGGAGACAACAAATAGTGGGGCCATCCATACTAAATAGAGACTCAAGACAAAAAAGATGGAAACAAAACGATGTTCCCCAAGTTAGTACTGCTATTAAAATAAAAAAAAAATCTCCATTTTACTTACAGGACGTATAAGATTTCTTTAAATCTGAAACTTGGTATGTTCTTTTGGTTTCAAGTCATGCATTACTATATAAGTAGCATGAAGATATGGATGCATCTCAATATGGTAAAAAAGAATACAAGCCATGGAAAATGGATACAGAAAATAGGGGACCTGGAAGGCCACGTCAAATTTCATAATCAAATAACAGTAAATTCACAAACAGTGCACAAAGATTAGGCATGCAAACATAAAATATCTCATATTTTGTAGATGCAGATGGATCATTAAATAGGCTTCAAACTGTGAACAGAAAATATCTTACTCGTATTCAAAATTTCAAACACTCCAACTAATGAGGAAAATTAAAGGTAAATCTATTAGTAGTCTATTTTGAATAAGAGGAATGTCAAGATTTGCATTTAACCTTGAGGACATTAGAAGAGACCAAACAATACATTTACTTAACTAACATGAGAAAAGAAATTTCTTGATAAGTTAAAACAATTCACCAATGAAAACTTAAAACACATACCATAACCTGGGGTCATTGGGTGTTTCAGAAAGTCGTTTCCTGATTAGTTCAACAGCTGCTGCTTTCTTCTCCAATAGGCTGTTTTAGTATGATAGCTCACATGAGACTATTTGGATACAAAGTTGAAAAATAAAAATTGATACATGTAGGAGACTTCCAATTTACAAAACTGTCATGTCGATCATACCGGTAGCAGAATATAAGATTATCCCATAACTCTAGATCCTCAAAAGTTTTAACCGCCTCCCCTATCAGACCACAGCTGACTAAAAGTTCACCATATTCCCTACAATGAATCCAGAAAAAAAAAAAAATACACAAAACGAGAACTTTAAATAAGAACCAACAGATAGAAGAATACAAAAAAAAATTGAGTTAAAAGAAAACCACTATGTGAAAGATGAATATATACTTCCGCAAGGCAGGAATTGTGGGGATATAAACGTCATAGCAGAAAAGAATCCTTTCCGCCACCCCTGGAGAAGGGTCAGAGATACCCTGAACCTGAAATAAATATAAATACTTTCTGACTTTGTAAAACGAACTTTCAAAAAAACTTGACTAACTGACATGCAAGAGAAACAGAACTGATCTTTAAAGCATGAACACCATGAAAAGAAGCAGGGATCAAAAAAGTGCTCAATCCATCAAACAATATATATTAAACAGGCTATTATATGTGTAACAACTCCACATGCAAGGAATCGTTATCCGAGAAATAAGGTGACCACTTAGGACAGCGAAACCAAGGTTGTAACCTTGTAAGAGTCAACAGTATAAAGCATGAGCCAAATCAAGCTTCTCTCTTTACATGATAGTGTGTGTATTTGATGTGCATATATATATATATATATATATATATATATTTATATTTTACTAGTGGCTTGTAAAAGGTTGAAAAATAAGCCATGCTTAAAGGAAAGAAAAACAAGCAGGTGATAACATTAAAAAATTTGGGAAAATTAGATTTGATTTTTGGATGAGATTTTTCAAACTTCTTAGAAAGAGTGCATCAATAATGTAAAACTCTCACTGCCATGCTGTGTCATCTTTTAAAATTTCTCAGCTACAAACTAAAAAGGACATCTGAGGCTTAAGAAGTAAATGCATGATCTTGTGAGCTCGATAAATTTTATAAACAGGAGAAAAAAGAGTCTCTGATTGGGGAGAACATAAAACATGCCAAAGAAAAAGCTTGCAATCTTCAAAAAATGCCAGGTCATACCAATTTTTCCATCATCAGTAATGCACGTTCCTTTGTGCGACTACGTGCCGACTCCCACCGAATCCGTAGGATGTGACAGAAGCATCGTATCTGATGAAAAGAAAAAAAACTATACCTCATTACATATGACCAAGTTAGGCAATATCAATTAGATACAAAATAAGTGTAATTGGCAATAGAAGTTGTCTATTGAGGTGGGGAAGACATAAAACGAAGTAAAACTGTCAAGGTGCAATTACTATGATATGATACCATTTCAGACACGAACTATGTATTTTGGGTGCAGAAATTGTTTGTTTGCTGGATGAACTTAGTAAGTTCACAAGGATTAGGTTCCCAGAACACAGAATTACTAGTAAGAAAAATATTTGACCCTTTGGAAAGTAGCCCAGACAAATGAAGACTTGAAAGTACAAAAGAAAATTCTAGAGCAATGTCACATGGTCTGGACCTGATGGTGACTGAGGACAAAGTCCCACATCCGTGAGGGACCAAACCATGCAAGGGCTTATAAGAGGTTGGGCTACACCCCACATTGCCAATTAGTTTTATGGTGGAACTTCAATGACCTCCTGTAAATTTGTAATACTGATGCGGCCATATGACAAAATTTTAGAGAAGGCTTACTTCAGTGAGTGTGGTTCTTGACTCTTGAAGATAAGTAAAATTTGTGTAATTCCACGTATTAGCACATCCACATGTCACATGGTATCGTATAAATCAGTCATTATTTTTTGTGTATAGATTAATCGACCAGGTCCACTAGATATTCAAGTGATTCCTGAGGAACTTTTTCTTAAGCAGAATTTTGTGTTTCAGATTTTTTAAAATAGAAAAGAAAGAAAAATGAAGCAAATATTATTTTCTGCCACAAGGTGATGGTACTTAAATACCATAAATACTTCAGATTTATATATAGAATATATAGAAATATGTACATATGTAATACCTCAAGATAGTTCTTGAGAAACCCATATAGCAGCAGAATTCCTTTGGTGGCAGTACTTTTAAGGATCCAGTTCTGATATGAGACTAGTAATATCACCCCTCTTGGTAATTGTACATCTACATGGTCTAGTAAGTTGTTATAGTGCCTAAAGATATGAAGGAGTACTCTCCGTAGACCTTATGTCACTTTCTCAGGAACTCTCCAGTTGATGACCTATGCAAGTTTTGTTTGCTGTTTTTTATACTAAACAAAGATTTATCTCTTAGTGCATGTTTTAGCTAAATCAACTGGCACTTGGGAGACTTCATAAAGCTCACCGACCAAAATAGTTTCATTTCTGACAATATGAAAGATAAGTAGTCAAACTTTTACAATATATTGAACGCTGAAATTGTTAACTGTTATAAAAAAGAATGATTCAAGAAAAATAGAAGATATACTGAAAATAATAAACCATAAAAAAACGATTCAAGAAAACTAGAAGATAACTGAAAATAATAAACCATACAATGTCATGATGTCATACTTACAATAAAGTATGATGACTGCTGAGAATCAATTGCCTCTATGTAAGGAGCCATTTCCCATCCTGAAACACACAGTGGGTTATTGAGAAATCAAAGAGTAGGGGGTCAACCGTATGTAAGAAAATTATTGTCCTCCAAGAATACAACTATAAAATCAGGGAACATGAAATTTAAATTTTGTTACTCCACTGCGTGTACGTTGTACGGATATGGCCAATATACTAAATCGATAACTTTACCAGGTAAACAAGGTATTTCTAGCAAAAGAATCCTCAAGAATATGGACCTGAATAAGTTTACAACCTCACTCAAGTTCCTAAACTCAAGGTCACGTTCTCAAGAAGATGATTCTGATTCGTATACACCAAAAAATCTAGTATTTGCATACAAATATATGCTTGTGTTTCTACCAAAGCTAAAATAACAAAATGCCCATCCTGGAACTTTATGACATGAAAACAGGAGAAGTAGTCAACTCTGCTATTCGCAAGCGCAGGCACACACTTTTAAGAGTACATATACGCATAAGAGTACATATATGTATATATAAAGGAAACTTACTTTGCATGTCATCATGCCGTGTGCTCTTTTCAATTAGAAGGCATTTAGCCAGGATCACTACTTGATGGATTGCACTCAAAGCAGCAGCAGCAGTACCATCAACTTGAATGCCTTCTGGTTTAGTTCCAGAATTGTCATCATTCGCTAACAATTTTGGGGTCATCAATATGTCAGAGGCCTCATGGTTTTCAGATGGATGTATATTCTTTCTGCCAATACTAGAATCGCATGTCTCAGAGCCAGGGATTTCTGAGGGGCAGCTACCGCCACTGCTCGATGAAGTTGGGTTTGCTAAAAGTATCATTTGTGCCTTTGGTTCTACCTTTAGGGAAAAATGATATGTAAAGCTAAGAAGTAACTTTGATATTAAAAAAACAGATATAACAAAATTTCTGTTGAATGCATTCAGCATTTACCTGATGTACAGTACGGAAGCCAAGAACACCTGTAAGAGAAAGCTGAAGACCAGCTGCTGCTTCAGCTGATTCAAAATGTACCCTGCACCACAAAGGACACTCAGAGGCAATATTGATAACTAAAATAAAAGAATAGCTTAATCAGCATACAAATAAAAATACGGGTTGGTTTAACAACAATGATAAAGGGAAAACAAAATTTTAAAAAGTGAAAATGTGGAGATTGTACTTCTTGCGAGACACCCAAATTAACTTCTCATTGACTGAAAATGAAACTTGTACTTCTTGCGAGACACCCAAATTAGCTTCTCATTGACTGAAAATGAAACTTCATGCAGTTGCAAACAAAATTACACCACCCCTCACCCAGCACACACACACAAGAGCACACAACAATACACCCATTATGAGGACATAAAAAATAAAAATAAAACAATTTTATGCTGCAAAACAAAAGTACTTGGAATGCTTAACTTATCTAATAATTATATAGACTATGCTTAATAAATTTGAGTTTTGGAAACCCTCTTTCCGTACCACAAAGAAAGGAACTGCATAAACTTTAATTTCTATAAATGTTTTTAAGATTACCTCCAATATGCTAACTGACTGGTTAATACAATTTGCTTTATTTACACATGTAAAATTATCTAAAATATTAATCAACCATTCAAAAATCTACTTACGCAGTAACATGCACGTAGAAACTCATTCATGTATGCTGAAAATGAATAATACAATGGATTTTAGTAAATTTGTGCATTAGTTAAACCTTAAACATATTATTCAACATTTAACATGTGGGGAAATTTGTATAGTCTATAGACTGATGAGAATAACACGTCTCAATAAAATTTGAAACCTATTGTAGCAATCCTAGAAAAAATAATATCAAGTACTTGTATTTTATTGGAGGAGTTAACAAGAAATATCAGTTCAGCTTTATTTGAACATGAGCGAGAGCTATCGCAATTACACACTAATACAATGGTAAACGAAATGGTTTCTTTAGAACGTTGTTATTAAGATGTTTAGTAATAACAAAATAACCAAATTTCCAACAAGATAAAACTATCCTTGACAAATCACCTGCATGAATCAACTCGTGCATAGGTGTATTCCATCATTCCAGCTTCCAGATGAATCGATGAGACAAGTGACGATCCCTCGCCGTTTTGTAAATTGTTACCCCAGTAGCTTGTTACTTTCTCCAGTGTACCAAAATGTATCAAAGTTTCACTTGTAAAGACTTGCAAAAGATTGAACAGCGAAGAAGAACGGTCATCAAGAATTCTTTGATGGAGAAGGGTGATCCTAATGAGCCACCATGAAATGCTCCTAATTCCATACGTAGAAGGCACACTCGCTTCAAATAGCAAATCTTTCACCTTCATGGCCAACATCTTCGCATACACTATATACTACAAAACAACAACAAACCAGTGCACATATCAATTATGGTTGTATACGAGTCTACAAGACAACTAAAAACAACTATCATTCAAGTTTTGTACAGAGTCAAAGACTAGAAATACCAAAGAAAAATTAAACTTGAGAAGAGACACAAAACGGGCACACGCACACGCACATATAGCCGGAATTTGAATACATAGTTGCTTCTAATTGTAAGTTATGAAAAATGAAGCAAAACCCAGTTCAGTATTTGTGTGAACTTTCGAAGAAATTATTGCACATGGTAAGTAGTTAAACTAATTAAGAAACGAGAAATTATGGCTCTGTCTTAAGGAAATACTCCAAGCATATAAATAAATTCACAATTTTAAACTTGCAAAAAGATAAAAGTTGGTACCTGAATATTGATTAACTTTCCAAGCAAGTCAGACCCAGCAACCATAAGCTGATTGCGCGCCCAATTGTCCCACTCATCGCATTTGGGCACCGCCAGAGGCAGAGGACATTTCGGCAACCCCTCCAACGGTCTAAATTTCCAATTTTCCAAAAATTTGAATTAACCCACAAAGAAAAATCAACTAATGAACATACAAAATATTAAAAAAAAACTTTAAAATTGGGGACTTACCCAGTGACGTTGCATTGAGTGAAAGCGAAAAAGGCAGCCACAGCAATGCACAGAACGACTATGACTCTATAGGCCTTGTCCTTGCCGCCATCGTTTTCTTCCTCTTCACATTCCTTGGATACAAACGATTCCATTCGGTCGAGCAACTCGGAGTACACTCGGTCGGCGGACTCCGCTGAGTCTCCGAGCGATTGTATCGAGTCAGACTCGGCGAATTTGAAAACGACGCGTTCTAGGTCGGGGGAGGTGAGGGCTTGGAGGTATTGCCCGGACTCGATGGAAGTTAGGAGGTCGTTGATTAGAGGGTGGAGGGGGTGAGCGGGAAGTGTTTCATCGCACCGTTGAGAACGGTGTGAGAAATCGGACGGCGGAGATGGGAGGGTGCAGCGGAGGAGACGGAGCTCGTACAAGCGGAGGATGGCGAGTTCCGGCAACGTTTCGGACATGTTGCTGTGAGGTGTGGAGCGAAATGTTTCGGGTCAGTGAGAGAAGGGAGGTTAGGGTTTTAGAGGGAAGTAGAGCGCGGGGTTTTGGGTTTTAGAGTGGACTTGTGATTGAATGCGGTACGGTCTGTTGGAAAATAAAAAAATTAAGTATTTTAAGGATTTGATTTAATTAGTGATTTACTTTGATTTGGTTTAGATTTCTATCTAGTAGCAAATTATGGCTTTATAAAAACCTTCTAATAAAGCATTTGTTGAAGTCTTCGGGTTCGTTTGGATGTATTTTTAAAATGACTGAAAGAGTTTTTAGAGAAAATGTTTTTGGATTCCAAAAGCACTTGAAATGATTTCTGCAAGAAACACCAGTTATGTGTTTTTTCCAGGAAGCACTTTAAGTACTTTTTCAGAATTTACTTGCATTTTTACTGATGATTAGTTCCAAAAATATTTTCACCAAAAACGTTTTCAATTATTTTAAAAGCACATCTAAACGAGCTCTTAATTTAGTTAGGATGTGATAGTGTGAATCCTAATAAATTATGATCGAATTCTACAAAATATTTTTGACAGTTTTCTAATTGCAATGTATTACTTAAAAGGTAAAGATTCTATCCTCTTCCTACTAAAAATAAAAAAAATGTAGAATTCACAAAATTCTCTCATTTCTCTCTATTTGCCGCCTTCTCCTTTTCCCTATAATTCTTAAGTTGAACAGGCTTACAATAGTGTTAAAGTAGTGTAAATTGTGAGATTGTAGAGAATTATAAATTTATCAATAATTCTTTATTTTCAATTCCAAGCAAAATGTATTGCAATGAAATTATGCCAACGTGACTCAAACCTAGACCTTGATCTAGCAAATAAAACGAACTTTACCAACTCAACCAACCCTCACTAGCCAAGGAGAATTAAGTTATTGCAGGAGAAATAAGAAAAAAGAGAGTGGAGAAAAAAAATGTGGGAAATTTTTAACCTTTGTCATTTACCATTTTGCCTTGATAAAATTGGGAGTTGAAATTTACACTACTCTCCCACATCTATTTTAATTTCTGACCATCGGATTGCATACAAAGACTGCATCCGTCACCCTTTTCACTCTTCGTCCCTCCTTCCAACAAAAAAATTCACTATTTTTGGCCCCTAAAAAATGAAAATAAAATGATTACCATACAGACTCGAACAATTGTCATTTCCACTCAAAATGCAGTCAAATTGTCAAAATTATGAATCGAAAACACTTGGGGCATAACATCTGTTTGTTTACATGATAGAAAGAACTTTGGGACGAGATATAACAAATATGTTAACAGAAAAGCGAACGAGTGAGTGCAGATAAAATTAGGACAACCACCATTTACAGCTGATTTCACCTCTCTCATCTCTCTCTTTAATTTAAAGGAATAAGTTGGAAATGCAGCAAAAATAGTCGCCCTGAAGGAAATCGGGAAGACGTTAACAGGCTGTTTAGTCCCATGCTATGTTTCGATGGACCGATATAAAAGGCGAGTTGGTTGAACCATACGAAGGACCAGTTACACAAAATTGTTAACGAAAAGCGCCAAATATTATCAATCCCCCATATACTTCTGTTTCTTGGCTGTGTTCATATATGGTCTGATGACCCATTCATTCTGGGCTTCATCCTGGTCCATTGTTCCTAACCTTATCTGCAACATCAAAGCGAAAAACTGAGTGTAAACACGAACAAGTAATGCTATGAAACATTGAACGGTCTACTGGGAATAAACATAGCACGAACATGACCAATAAATCTAAGTGATTTGATTAGCACCGGCACGACTTAGTAAGGAGGTATTGGGTTCGATAGGTAAACAACACTTATCAGTATGCTTGGTGTGTGTATGCGCGTGTGTGTATGTGATGTTGCTTTCTTTGTATTAAACAGAAAAGAAATTTAAAGTAAAAAATCTCAGCAGACAGCAGGAAAATTTTGAGCAAATTAGGTAAAGCAGAAAAATTCTAACTAATGTCCAGATGACATAATCAACACCAACATCTGAATGCAAAAAGAAACATGAGCCATATCCTTGCAAGAAGCACAAATTTCTCAACAATGAAGATACAGTAACGAGTACTAACCTTAAAAAGCCTCAATTCAAAGCGAGGACCGATCTCCTTCAGCTCAATAGATTTAGGACCTCCAGGCTTCTCATAAGTATGGTGCCTGTAAGTTCTCAAATCGTTAATGGAACTACAAAGCAACCATTTCCACTTAACAAAAATTAGATCCCTTGATATATAAGAAATATAATGAGTACAATGGTACAATTGCCCCTGAGCAATGGTTAAAGACAACAGAAAAAAAAGGGGAAAAGAAAATGCACAAAAAAGGAAAAAACAGTTATTCAAATCTAATGACCAAATAAAACAGTTACATAATATATGTTCTGACCAAACAAAAGGCGCCTGAGTTCATATCATTCAAGAAAGCCCTATCTAAATTCACCAACATGTGCATATAGTAGAATTTAAGGGAAATGTGAAAATCATTGTTGATATATCAACAACCATCCTTAACAAACCAACCTGAATGAAATGTAGTCAGAGCGATTGGCGAAAGTGATTATGCGTTTTGTATCCGGCTTTGGCACTGGAAAGAGATGCTTTAAAATATTTGCTGCCCTCTCACCCAACTACGAACAATCAAGAAAAGAAAATCGTATTCAATAGAACAGTCAACAGGTTAGTAACTACAAAGGCCAACTCAAAAAGATGCAGTGATGCAAGTGTGCATAAGATTAAGACATAGCAGGAGTGGATGGATCAGCATTAGTAGGAATGGTAATCACAGAGAGAGAGAGAGAGAGAGAGAGAGAGATGAAAGATGGCCTCATCTAATTATATCACCATCAAGGTAGCTTATCAATAGCTCAATATGTAGTCATAGACAGAACAGCAACATTGAAATTCCTCACATGATTTTCATAGTAGGAGGTATGTCATAAACTCTTTGGAGATAACTATAATCAATCATCCTCATCTCTGAACCTTATAAACTATCTCTAATTGGATCAATGGGGTCTGATCTATCTTGGCATAATGTACGGAGTAAAGTAAGTCAAGCTGCTGGAATCTTTAATTGAGCTATGATACCTTGGTCGTGAAATTGTCAAGTATCACGTGTGGATAAACCTGAGGCATTGTTCCCATGGCCTTCTTGTCTTTGATGTCATGTCTTGTGACCTATAACAACAGTACTATTAGCAGAGTGCTCAAAATAAATAAGTCAGAAAAGCAATAATGTATTCTACAATTGTTCATCATGATTGGCAATCTACAATTGTTGTCAGTATCAAACCTTCATTTTATGGTTCTTTGCACTAAGAAGCTGCTGCTTTGTTTTTACCAATTTTTTAAGGGCTTTGTTTTTATCAAATTTTTAAGGAATTAGAGTCGCTCAAGTTTCCTGGAGGACTGTAATAGTGGTACATGGATCTTTCGTGGGTGATCTCAAGTCATTGACTTGCCGATTATGATTGATTTTGAATCTCTGGATCCAAGTTTACCAATAAATATCCATTTAACTCTTTTCATTCAATAAAAAAATAAAAAAACTATTCTAGTAAATGATTTAGAAGCTATGAGGCCTTCTTGCTGGGTTTAGGCAAACAGGTTCATCTCCAATGTGAGGCCAAGATTGATCCTCTTCAACTTCCTCTTCATTTTTTTCACCTTACACTCTAGCATTAACCAGACTTGTACAATCAACCATTGAAATCACAAAATTTGAAAACCCAAGGCCATCTCTCCCAAAAGAACTGTTACTAGAAACCAAAGCATTCTCTGATTCCTGAAAGCAGTAAAATGAAATCCTTTCTAGCCCTATCCAGACCTCTAGATCATGATCCTTCTTTTTCATTTTTCAAAATTCTATCTTGGCCTCACTTTCCTAATTTTTGCTGCTGAAGGTCCTAAGAAATTCTATGTTGTCCGGATTCCTTTTCTGCTGTCCTACATTAGTCTTAATACCAAGATATTTGTCCAACAATAACACAAAAATTATCACACTACGTACCACATTGAGTAGTTGAAAATAAGCTGTTGGACCAAAAGGAAGGTGGCTTATAATCAAACCATCTGGTACACCACGATGTTCATGAACCAGCACAACATCCGTAAATTCGTGTGAACGGCATGTTTCAATAATTTCAGAAATAACCTGCAGGATTTGGAGAAATAAAATATCAATGTATGCTCAAGTATGAAAAGGGACCAAAGCATCAGAACCATCAACGATAGGTACATCCTTAAATGTCATCGTGTTCTCAAGTAAAGGGGTCCATCTAGCATTACTTAAATGTCATCATCTTCCCACAACACAACGGTTGGGTAATGCATGTTGAATTGTTGATTCATAAGAAGTGATCAAACAGCACCGTGCAGAAAAATATGTGCAAATCAATTTAGAGTACCGCTCTGTCTATTGTCTATTTTCTAGTTGGAAGGCTAATACAAATAACGAATAATTACATAATGATTCATTAATACAGTTTTGATGGAGTAAATGATTCATTAATGGTTAGAAGGCTCTTTAAGTGAGAACAATATATTATATATCTCCATAATCAATAACAATATAAAACTAGGCAGAAAAGTGGACCAACCTGACCACCACGATTCATTTGTTGCGCATTGGGAAAAACGAGTTTCAGTTCCTGCAACAAAAGTGTCATTGAACAACAATCAATAATCAACACAGGCCTTGCATAATATTAGCACCACAAAGTGAACACAATAGTGCAGCAAAACTGATTAAAACAGTGTGAAACACAAGGAAAGAGGCTAGGCCAACCTTAGCAAATTGTATAAGAGGAGCACTCGGATCCCGGGAAGTAGTCAGCAAAATTTTCGGATCTCTCTGAGTTGCGTTTGCATACTCGTCATCTATATGTGACCTCGGGACTGGGATTCAGATATGAAAGCCATGAAGAATCGACATCATAATCGAATGAAAACTAAAGAATTACATGTTCAAACTACCCAAAATATTACAAATTGTCAATTACACAAGAACTTGAATACATTGCTACATTATTTACACACACACACACACACACAAAAACTTTCATATATAAATGATCATAAATCGAAAAACTTTCATAAACCCCCATACCGGCAGTGTTTTCGTCCTCTAAATCGATCTCTTGACGAAGAGCAGCCTCCTCATTCCGAAGCTCGGTGGGTATCGGTTTACCCTCTGCAAAGAAATCAAATGTCCCAAAATTGTTACAAATTCAATCACTTCCAAAACAAAATTTCAAATTAGAAACAAAGAACATATACACACATATGTATCTAAAGAGAGAGAGAGAGAGAGAGAGAGAACCTTCTAGAGCTTCTTTGATCTTGCGCTTCTTCTCATAGAGCAAGCGTTGTTTGCCTTCCAAGCTCTTTCTGTACAAGTACTCCTTCGTCAACCTAATTTTTCGGCGCAGCATACTTGCTCTCTCTGCAACACAACCTAGAGAGAGAAAGTGAAAACGAAGGGGAGAGAGAGTGAGAGAGTAGGGGTTTAGGAAAAATGACTCTGCGTTTTGTTGCTCTCTCTGCAACACAACCTAGAGAGAGAAAGTGAAAACGAAGGGGAGAGAGAGAGAGAGTAGGGGTTTAGGGATATGGCGGGTCACTCCCTCTTGCTTGCTCAGCTGCCAGAAGGTGCGGAGATAGGGTTTTAGCACGTCAGTTCGAATCCTAACCGTCCACTTTTTGTTTCGTTACAATCTTAGCCGTCAATGTTTAATCCCACGATTTCTATTAAAACTTGCCCATAAAATGACGAAATTGCACTAAATCCACATAGTTTACAATAACTCTCATTTTCGTCACTATAGTTTATTTGCTGCATTTTTGCCCTTGAATTTTAGTTTTTTTCACTTTAGAAATTTTTCCGTACTTAACACATTAGACTAATAAAAAAATAAAAAAAACTAATGAAAAGGTTTTGAAAACTTTGAGTTTTAATGATAAGAACAAAATAAAGGGTAAAGTGAATAGTACCATGATTGATTTTTTAGCGTAAAAATATGGTTTTTCGTTAAAGTGAACAACACCGTGGGTGTTTCGCTAAAACTCCCAACTAAACACATTAGACTAATAAAACCAACATAATGAAACTACAAAGACGAAAATACAACAAAAATAAAATACATATATAAATTTGAAAACAAGGCAAAACACAATGACAAAACGCTTATAATAACATGTGTCCCGTTCATAAAAAAAAAAAAAAAAATGTAACCCTTACCTTTGACTTTTAGAGAAGAAAAAAAACAAGACGGAATAACATACGTGATCATCTCACCATTTTGTTTTTGGATTAAAAAAGGTTATAATAACAGCTGCAAAATTCCTTAATAATTCTTACTTCCCCTCCTCGTTTCTTTGTTTACTTTACTTTCATGTCTAAAATCCTATTGGGTTGTACTTTAGGAGGAAGATGCAAACAGAAGCCAATTTGTCTAGCAACAGAAGCCAAAGAAAAAAAGCACCTTAGGAGGAAGATGCAACTCCCCTAAAAGTTCATGGTTACTTGTTCATAACGTAGACAAACTTCACAGTAAAGTTACCATCACTAGTTGGTCTCCATATACACTTGTCTAGTTACGCAAACAATTCAAGTAATTTTGTGCTCAAATTCAAGCTACGTTAGAGCTTGACCTTTTTTTTATCGAAAAACTAATGAAAAGAACTTGAAAACTTTGAGTTTTAATAATAAGGACAAAATAAAGGGTAAAGTGAATAGTACCAGGATTGACTTTTTAGTGTAAAAATATGGTTTTTCGTTAAAGAGTACTGTAGACTTTTCGTTAAAACTTCATTTTTCTATACAACAATATATTTACAAGTGAACATAGTAAGTTGTAGTACTAAATGAAAGAGCTTAAGAGATTTAAATAAAGCAAAATGTGAACATCCAAATAATTGTAGCTTCACTCAACTTGCATACACTTAAGTAAAAGAAAAAACTCACGTACATTTTTTTCTTCACAATTTAAATTAATCTAATCTGTAGAAAGTAAATTTAAAATAAAACGCACTATCTAAATTAACTGATCTAACTCATATACATGTGATTCGTTTCCACTTTGCCATTGCACAAAAATAACAAGTGGCTGAGAATTTGACTCGGGCCAAATTTGGCCCAATACCGAAATTAGATGAACAGACAAAGCCCAACCAACTAGTGCAAAAACTAAAAGAAGAAAATGGTGCCTTCAGAAACTAGTAGGGTTTAGGCGAACTGCTGCCTCCCTGCTTCCTCGATCGACCTGCGATACATTCAACCTCCATATCCTCCTTCGCACTCTCGCTCTCTCTCTCTCGCGCCGAACAATAGATGGCTTCCTTCTGCAGATCAGCTCTAATGGCGGGCTCAAGGTCCATAGCTCGCTCAAGAGCTCTAAGCCAAACCTCCCTGAACTCCCTAAACCCTGCAGCCATGGCATCCCCGTTTGCTTGCGCCACCAGAACAATTCCTTGCGCTACAAGGTACAGTCTTCTCAAATCCCTCCAAGTCAGCCAATTTTGACAATTTCTGTGGCTTCAGAAACCCAGTGTTAACAAATATCTGTTATTGTTATTGTGATTAGATTCGTTTCTGTATTGGGATGCATGGAGTCAATGATGCCGCTTCACAGTGCCATTGCTTCTGCTCGGCTTACATCCAACATTGCCGTCGATTCCACCTGCTGGAGCTCCCTTTCTCTTGGTAACCCACTTTCCCAATTTTTAAATATTTTAACTGAACTTTTTCTTGTTGAATTGTTTTCTTTATCTGTGTTTTTGGAATGGGTGTTTAATTTTGTTAGTTGCACGTATAGCTATATCGCTAACGAGATGTAGGGAGTGTTTTCTAGTCCGTTTTCGTGTGAATAATTGGGATTCGTTGGATTTTTTTAATGGTTGACAAAATGAAGAGTTAAATCTCAACAAAGTTGTCCCTTTTATCCATTATCCGTCGTTCTCTCATTCATTTCCAGAATCAAAACTCGGGTCAGTGTCAAATTTGGATAATAATTCAAGTTTCTAGTGCACAGATGTGATTAATGCATTAGCTCTTAAGCTAGTCATTTCTTGTCTAGTGGCGCACTGATTACCTCTTTCTGCATTGGGTGTCTATTTCTGACTCATTTTTTCTACATCGTGGTATAGGTCTTGCATCACCGTTGTGACTAGGCCCGCTGGCTATGTGAGGTAATCGGTGCTTAGGGTTTCCCTTCCGAGTCATGTCTTGAAATTTTGGACACTGTATTGCGTAGCTTATGCCAGCTCAGTTAATTCAGCTATTTAGTTGCTGCTGCTAAACTTCTGTTAGATTGTTCAGTGGTACCTTTGAGAACCGTTCTTATTCTGCTCTTGTTTTCAGTTTACATGAGTAATTCATGGAATTGCAGTTTCTTATTGTGGTATAAATGATCCACATGGATGCATTGAGTTTTCTTTTCAACTTTCTGTGGTGTGTATTTTGTAATGTGATGGTGAAACAACTAGATTATTGTTCAAGGCTTGAGTTATTTAATAATTGATATTTTGAGCAATTATATTACTACCTATGGTTATCAAAACGAAAATTATACATAAATAAATGTGCAAGGCTGGTTGTAAATCGATGGGGACGGAGAAATTTAAGCCTATTTAGGTGACAGCGTTATTCAGCCATACCTGTTTGCGTTCATTCTATTGTTCATCACCAATATCCACTTAGCTTTGTAGCAGAAGAGTGAAAAGATGGGATATTCTGTTGTACTTAAAATATTCCTGATTGAGCCCTTGGTTTAGAAACAGAGAAAAATAATAAAACAAGCTAGAGATCTTCAAGTTAACATCTTCTTATTGTACTCAAAACATCCTGTCACCCGTATGGTTATGCAAGTCTGGTTCCATGAAAGAACCACTGACTTTGATTTTCACCTCACTAGAAATACGATGCAGTTAGTTGTCATTTTCCCTTTGAATTTGTTGTATTAAATTTAGGCTCATCTGAGACACATTCTTCTTCAACATATTATATCCTACTCACCAGTACAATTTGTTTTTCTCTTTGTCGGTAGAATTTCTTCGTCTACTGATCTTCCTATTTGCTTCATTGGTTTTTCTAGAGGCTGCAGTTCCTCGGTGACAAGGACTCCATGCTCCGATCATTTCAGGCTTTCAAATTGGCTTGCATATTGGTTCCTCCATCCTTTGTTCTTTTCCTTTTTCCTATGCTTTATGGCAATTGCCTTGTGTAAGTTACATTAGGCGTTCCTGAAAAACAGTTTTACCGTCTTGAATGTTTACATGCTAGTGTGCACATTGACATTTAGTCCAGTACCTTTCTAAGGACCACCGAGGACATTTGCTGTGTTTTTTGTTCAACCACAGCTTGTGTTAGGAAGTGATTTCGGGCATTTTGACTAACGTTAAACTTGGGATTTGCCTATCCTTCAATGTGGGACTTAGGGATAGTCAAAATCAAGAGTTTAGAAACGAATAGCTCTTCATGGGTTTCAAAGTGACCAATGACTAATAGAGAGAATTGAGATAGTCCCTTAGGAATCACCCTGATGTTTAGGAATTCGGTTTTCTTTTAGGCGGTCCTAAGTAGTAAGTTCTAGTCACATTAGTGGCTCTTGTACTCTATGACTGTTGCCAGTTATTTACTAACGTACAAAATGCCCACACCAATGATTGCTGGACAAGAATATCTTATTGCACTGTCTGTTTTGAATGATGCAAATTGCTTAATTACCTTATCATTTCTGCTATTACTGCATATTCTGGTCATCTGTGAAGTTCATGTTCTAATACTCTCCAATAAAACCTAATGACGGGGTTAAGGCACCCTCCACCTAAACTACTCAAACTTCTCATACATTAACTGTGTGATCTCTTTTACATGTGCTTCTTTAGTAAATAGCAATAGCGTGATTTCTGTTGAATGAGTTCGAGCTCGGCTAATTATAAATTATTCTTGGATAGGGCTCCTCGACCGAAGCTGAGCATGAACCGAATTTAACCAAACAACCTTGCCCTGATTCGGCCAAGTTGTACTGTACTGCTCTCCTTCCTTGTGTGCCCATGGCATATAAATTGCTATTTGTTAAACGGTTTCCGTTATCAGTTTTGTTTTTGCTTAAACTAGACATTTTGATTGTGATGGCTCGCGATGTAATGCTTGGCCTGAAGAATTAATGGAACAATAGGAATGGTGCATTCTCTTTGTATGGTTTGGTTACTGCTTACAAGTATAGGGTCTGTACGAGTTGGTGTTCTAGTCATAAATGGCGGATTATGAGACTTCCTTAAAACTAAAAACTGAAGGTCTCAGGTTCGAAACCCGCTACTGGTCTGGAAGCTGGACTTGTGGCCAGGGGAGGTTAAAATGCCTATGTGAGTCTTGCCGTTCCCAAAAGAGGTGGATAATTGTAACTTGCCACCAATTGTCTCCCTTTCAAAAAGAAAAAAAAAATCCATAGCTTATGGATAAAATGCGACAATGTTATTGCAACTAACAAAACATAGTGGCGTGTTACAGAAGGATGGGCTTTTAACAATTTTGGTGATCATTCTCGTGTTGCGTATGGCAATGACACTCTTGTTTACAACATCAACTAATTTGAAACTTAATTTTAAAGCCATATTTGACTGGTATGTGCTTTGCCTTGTGTGGATCCTATTTCAATGGGAACTTGATGAGTAATACCATTCAAAATTTCCTTTCAAAATAAAGAGTTCAAAACGGAGTAGACCATTACTCCACATTATAACAAGTTTAGAGATTAATACTTACAATTTTTTAGTTTAGGGACTGAAGCTCCAATTGAATAATTCCATTTTGAGTTTGAAAGTTTTCATAAATTTTATATGGAATTTATAATGTACGTATCTGATGTAAAATTCTAAAATTTCTTAAACTTATTACTATAAAAAAAGGAATTGCTATTGGTACTTCAAAATTTTCATTTTGAACTCCAAATTTTCCATAATTGAAAGAAAAATACACTTGTTAGGAGTGTATAATTGAGATTTTTGAAGTGCTAATAAAAATTTCTGAAAAAAAATTCATGCATACTCTTATTTTATCATGTTTATTGTTAGTTTTATTGGATATGCTTCATTTCTTATTTTGTATATTCAACCACATTAAAAGTGATTATATTGATATGTACTATTTTATCTTGACTTATATGATTTTATGTTATACACACCTGCACATGCCTGCAAACATACTTACATAAAATCGACTAATTAGAAGCATACCCAAATCTATAGCAAAACTCAGAAAAAAAAAATATTGAATGGTAAATACATGAAAGTTTGAAGGTTTCCAAAATCTTGCAAAATGTAGTAAATCCAAATAATGTATGCTTCTGAGATAAAATTGATTACAAAAAACCCAATAATCCGATATTCTAAATGAGAAATAATATTTAATAACGAAAGTTTTAGGATTAGCTTGAGCTTGAAAAAAAAAAAAATTAAACAAATCAAGCTTGAGCATAATGACATTCGCTTATGGCCCTATGAATGTGGCGAATTTCAAGCTCGTATTTTAATTCTTAATAATGGTGAATCACACGATAATGATCAGAAATAACTAAAATGTTTTTGTAAGTCTTATTAAATCCTGAGAAATGGATTGGCGCAAAGCCATTGGTTGGTCTTTTTTTTTATTAGTTTATTATTTTTATATTTATATAAGAAGGTTGTGCTGGAAATTATCTAGCTAGATCTATAGAGAGGCCAAAAAAGTTAATCGCGCAGCCAAACAGGGGCTCAACAAAACTGTAGGAGCTTTACCAAGAGAGACAAGAGAGTCCACTCAGCGTCCGAGTCCGACGGTTCGTGGCAAACTGAAATCAGTTGCTCTTCCTCTTCGGCCACTCTGGTTGTTTTGCTGTGTAAGTAACACAACGACGGAAAAGCAGCCAAATGGCGCAAGCTAAAGAGTCCACGTCGTCGAGTCCGCTGACCCAAGCTGACTCTGAAGATGTTTCCAGGTCTCTGCCAAGCTCCCCCAACTCCTCCACTCGCAAGGTCTGTCTGTCTGTCCGTCACCTTCCCGCCACTTTAGAAAACCTCTTCCCCAATTTGGAAATTAAATCATTTTGTTTTTGTGGCAGTTTGGGGATTTGATTAGAGCATGAAATTTGAAAGAAGCATAATTAATAGTTGAATGCTGAAATTTTCCTAATTAGGTTTGGGAGATAGAGAAATGTTGTATTAGAAACCTGCAAGAACAAGATGATTTTGGATTGAAAAATTGGGGGTTTGGAATCTGAATAAAATCATGGAAAGATATAATTGTTGGGTAGCTATGATTGAATTTGTTATGATGGTAAGTCAAGGGGCTTGTAGCTCAGTTGGTTCCCGGTCCCCCTTCCCCAAGTATTTGCTTTTGTAAAGAAAAAAACTCGAAATGAACTACAAATGGGTAGTCTTGGGAAATGGATCTGCAGTAACAACTCGAAATGTAAAGTGTTGCTAATTTCTTAATACTCGTTTCAAGTTTGAAGTTCCAGTTGTTGTGCAAATATTAATAGCTTACGCTTTCGTGACCTCTATAAAGAATGTCACAAAAGGTTCGAAAAATGCTAAACAGAAGTGGGTGTAATAGTCCATGATAGTGGTGCGAAGTAGATTTTGTACCAACGGGTTTTAGGTACTTATGTTAGTCGTTTTCCTCTATCTAGTATTATTTAAAGTCATCATTTACTGAATCTGTTTGTGCCGGAGTTTTTGTTGGTTGTTTTTCAATGCATAAAGTATACCAAACACCTTGTGTATTCAGTATACCATTTACCCTTGAATTTGATCAGGCATGCTATGCAGTGCTTCAGAGTTGGGTCTCCAAGAAATTCATGACTGGATGGTAATGTGCATAAATTGGGTTTGGTTATTTTCTTATTATATAATCTTTTGTAATGTGTAAAGTTTGATCGTAACAACAAAAGATTTGAACTGTGAATTTGCAGTATGGTTCTCTTTCCTGTCGCTGTTACGTTCTTCATCACTTGGTGGTTTGTTCAGTTTATAGATGGTTTTTCCAGTCCAATATATGCCAGGCTTGGGGTTAGCATATTTGGTATGACTCCAAAGACTTCTTACTTACATTTGTTTCTGCATGTTTTGAAATACCAGTAATACTTTTGACCAAAAAAATTGGGGAAAATTCTGGTGGTACCATATGCCTTGAATAGGTTTTGTGGAAGTTTCCAAGTAGTTCAAGTTGCAGTAACTATCGAAGAGGAGCAAAAAATTAGAAGAAGGTCAATGTGAATCATCAAGCCTCTTATACACCATTTTTGGGTAGCATTTTTCAGTTCATGTAGGGAAAATTTTTACAATGTGGAGTATCTTTAATTTATTTGGTCCAAGTAGAATCATATCTTAAGTTCATACCAAGTTTTGCTGGATAATGGATTAAATGTTTGTCAATTTCATCGTGGGTAGTTAATTGTTTAATCTATGTCCTTGTGTGCTTCAGTATTGATTACTTCTTTTTTATTGTTGCAGGCCTAGGATTTGTTACATCCCTACTTTTTATATTCTTGATTGGTATTTTTGCTTCATCATGGATGGGTGAGACAGTTTTCTGGATTGGAGAATGGTTCATAAAACGTTTGCCCTTTATGAAGCACATATACTCGGCCTCTAAACAGATTAGTTCTGCGATCTCTCCAGGTAATTGCTTTTATTTCAATTTATGTGTCCATTCTTATATGTTCTTGTAAAGCTTTTGCATGTCTCTGTCCTAATTATTTTAGGGTTTATATTTTCCTCTATCACATGTGGGCTATAAAGGCGCTTAGCTACTTGCAAGCATGTTGGCCTCACTTGATAAAGGCTACACCTGAGCTCGTTTGTTCAACAAATGAACCAATCCAAGCTTAACTTCAGGCTTGTAAAAATAACAATCCAAGCCCAGAAATTGGTTGGTTAAATCATAAGGCTCACCAACCTATCTGAAGTGGCTCTTTGTATGATTTTTCCGCCAGAAAGTATGCCATATAATGGTAAATTCTGATGCTTGAATGTTTTTGTCAACTCCCATGTAGGCTTTCACTACGCTGTTTGACTTAAGTTGAATAATCATGTGAACTTGAAAAATATAAGTTCCCTTGCTTGGGTACTAGGGAGACACAGATGATCCCCTATCTAAGATAAACCTCTGACCCCTGTTATTGCCATTGTAAAGAAAAAGTGGTGAGCGCACACATGCAATGGTCTTCCTAATTCAAACAAATAGTTTTGTTTATATTATTTGGTAGGCTGCATTAGTTTCTCCGGAGCTAGTAAAAGTTTGTGATGCCGTCTACTTTCTGAGTGTGTGGTGCATGGTAGAATTAGTGTATTTCTGATATGGAATTCATTCAGTGCTTTTCTTTTCTTCGTCTCCATTTAGCTATACTCAGAAATTAATTCTCTTTCTATTGGACAGATCAAAAGACCACTGCTTTTAAAGAGGTTGCAATTATCCGTCATCCTCGACTTGGTGAATATGCATTTGGTTTTATAACATCATCTGTAACCCTTCAGGTATGTTGAACTGCCCAGCTATTAGAAGATCTACCTTATACATGTTTTGTTAGAACTTCATGTATAGCCACCTCGACATAGTTTAATGTTCTATTTGTCAACAGATCGGTGTGTGTTTGGAAGAAGCAGGTATAGTTTGTATGTTCAGATTTTTTTTGTCCCAATTTTGACCTTGCTGGTTTTCCCCTTATATTAGAAGCTGGTGGTGGCTTATTGGTTGTTAATGCATAAGAGAGGTATCTGTCAGAAAAACTATTTGATCCCCTTGAAAAGCAGTTTCTTGTGTCTGAAAAAGGTTTCCTTTTTTGCTGTTCTTTCTCGAAAAAGTAACAGTTGGTTAGCTTTGGCACCTTCTCGGAAGTACAGAACTGGTTTCTTTGGCATTATTATTATCTTTTCCTGTACAGTTCATGCGGGAGATTTTTAAGTTCATTATATGTAAAGAACTGCTTAGAAGCAGGTGATGGATTATGTTGGTTGTTAATGCATTGGAGAGGATAACTTTGGGAACAGCTTTTTGATTCCCTCAAAAGACAGTTTCCTGTGTCTGAAAAAAAGGGTTTTCTGTTTGCTTTTCTTTTGTCGAAAAAGAAAAGGTTGGCTAGTATTGGCACCTCCTAGAAATACAAAATTGGTTTCTCTGGCATTATTTTATTTTTCCAAGTACAGTTCTTAAATTAAATGTAAAGAAGAATTTTTTTATATTTACAGGTTGCTCTATTGTTATTTACACTTGTAGTAGGAAAATACTATGGATATCACCAATTTTTACTTGCAATCCGCAAAGCAATACTTTAGGTTTTCAAAAAATGTATTTGAATAAGATTAGCAGCTATATTGCAACAGCCTTCTAAAAGGAAAGAAAGGAACAGTTTTATGCAATATAAGCTGCAAATGAAAAAAAAAATAGAACAGTTGTGTTGTGATGGTTAGCAATGGAAAAAATTAATACTCTAATAGAAAGATTTGGCTGTAGTTCATATTGGATTTTCTTATAATAACTATGAGTTACCTTTTGAATCTGATTGTTTTGTGGTTGATTACAGAGGGATGATGGCGATGAGGAGTTGTGTAGTGTTTATGTCCCAACAAACCATCTATACATTGGTGATATTTTTCTTGTCAATTCTGAGGAGATCATACGACCAAATTTGTCAGTTCGGGAAGGCATAGGTTCGTTTCCTCTTTTGTGGACATGCAGTCGTGGACCATATAGTCTAATTCATTCATGGACATGATAGTTTTGCCTAAAATGTGTTTTGCTTGTGACTTTTCTAAATGTTTCTTATTCATAGAAGAAAAGAGGACACATATACATTATAACCAGGAAAGGCTATGTTTAATATGGAACAAAAATCGATTGGTAATTTACAGATGTCTTATAGGTTTAGCAGACGTGCTTTAATTTCTGTCAATAAAGTTGTCAATGGAGTAGTATACTGAAAAACCTAAACAGGAATAAAGTTGACAAACTCATAGCTTTAGATCAGGTGGCACTGAGAGAGAGGTGGGGTTAGGCGAGATTCAAGTCTTGATGTCATGCAAACAAGAAAAACTGTACAGAGGAGGTGAAGAATAAAGCTGATGAAAGTCAGTTTTTCTCAAATAATGTTTGTTGTTACCAAGAATTTTAAGAGTTAGATGTAAAATGAAAAAAAATCATTTTAAGTTTGTTGCCAGAAATAACAAATCTTAATTGTAGTATTGGTCCTTTATCCTTGATTTGAATTCAGTGGAGGAAATTGGATTCAAGTATTTTTGCTCTATGTTAAGGATGGTTTTGTCATCGAACATGATTTGATATTTTTCAAACTGATCCCATTACTTAGGGTATATGTTCTCGTGCAACTTGATTGTTCTACTCTTATAACGGGTACATGTACTTTTTTGCATTTGCTGACTCCTTTCGTTTGACCTGGAAGATGATTTTGTGACCAATAGTATCATTTATCCCTAGTTTTGAGCAGAGGCTGAGCAGAGGCTGAAGAACTTTTGTTGAGTAGTGCTATTATTTCATAACAGTTTGACAATCGTTTCTTGCCTGGAATGCAGAGATCATAATCTCAGTTGGTATGACGATGCCACAAGTGATTTCTCCGATTGAAAGGATTCCTAGGCAAAGTGACAGGATTCCACCGAGCAGAATGGCGTCCCTTTAAAAACAAATGATACGGAGGGCTTATAGGACAGGTGCAGATGTACGCAACATGGTACTGTTCCTCATCCGGACCCCAGGTGTCGTACGTGATTACTAATCTGCTTGTTCACAAAACACAGCTAGACATGAGGACATGAAACAACATGAGAAGAGCTTTATTTTTTCGTTCATGGATTCATGGCTAGGGTTTGCATTTTGAATTCGTATTGTGTAGGAGTAGGTTACGCGATGTTTTATGTTACGTTTTCTTTTTAACTGCTACGATGTATATTCAGTATACTTTTAATGTTGAAATGAAGTATAGAAATGCTGTTATGATGATTTTATGGAAAGGTGTTTTCAAACCCCCATTTTCTCCCACTAGACACCACTCTATTTCTAGCCATTTGATTGAGTAAATCAAAGAAGAATTAACGGACGTAAATTAGCTCTATTTTGAATATAAAAATATCATCAAATTACAATTCATTATAAGGGGGGAATGCATACTTGCCTGTATGGAGCAAAGTCTTCAAGTTAACAAGTTACAGTTTACGCACTGTCATTATTCTCCTCCTAAATATTCCTATCAATTTCTAGCCGTTTGATTGAAAAAATCAAAGAAAATCAATGAATAGGAATGAGTAGGGTGTGTTGAACGATAAAAATGGTGTGAGAATTATTTCCCTAAAATTTTCTATTAAGGGAGAAGGTCAACATGATGGCATTGATGTTGTATACGACTCTGTAATTAGAATAACTCTTGATTTAGAATTGTTTAAAATAAATAAATAAATCGTAAATTATAAAGAAAAATTGATTTTTGTACATAGTTCTCAAGGTGCTGGAGTAGCTCAGCTGGTTAGAGCGTGTGGTTGTTAACCACAAGGTCGAAGGTTCAATCATTTCTTCTTGATATTCTGTACTACGGTCTGGTGATATTCCTCTTCACTTAAAAGTGAGATATCTTAGGTTTAAATTTGGTGGATGGTGAATTGGATACCAAATTAAGCTGCCGATTATATTGCTTAGCCAAACTTATCCTCTTCTTAGTATAAAAATATTGGTGTACTCAAAAAAAAAAAAAAAAAAAAAAAAGTGTAAAATTGACCACTTAAAGAGTTAAAAAATAAATAAATAAACCAAAAAATAAAAGCCCATTTAATTTTGGTTCTATATAGCCCAATGCAAAGCCTACCATTGGCTCCAACTCGTCTCTTTCTTTTCCTCCAGCACAAGAAAACACTCTTCATTCCTTCTTCAGCTCGATCTCACTCTCCGTTCTTCATCTCGACTTCTTGTTCTTCGTTTGTGCGCAATCATCAATCTCCAAGGTATTTTAACAACCCCTAATTTCTCCCTATTTTTTCGATTTACATTACCCAGTCTATGAATCGATTTCTAGGGTTTATCCTGGAACGCGATCATCAATTTAATTTTTCATCTGAATTTTGTGCTTCTCAGAGGACTTTAAGAGCTAGCTATGAAGCTTGACACTAGCGGTCTCGAATCACACGCGCCGCATCTCTTCGGCGAGAGCAGTGGGTTTCTCGACGGCGTTTCGGGTCCTCCGGCGTTCGAGGTTCCTATTACCAATGATGTGAGTTTCGATATGTTTTTAGTGCTCTCTTTTCCGTCGGGGTTCCTAGTCTCCTCTGTGTGGTAGAATTTTTGGCTGATTTTTTGTTTGCGTGTTTTTTGGTTCTTCTGCTGTTTCAGTTTGATGGATTTCAGAAGGAAGCTATCCAGATGGTGAAGCCTGCCAAGGGGACAACCACGCTTGCATTCATCTTCAAGGATGGAGTCATGGTTGCTGCCGATTCTCGAGCTTCAATGGGAGGATATATATGTAAGATGCTTGCTTTATCTCATATATTATGACATAATTGTATGCTTTGCTTTGTGCCACCAAGTGTTTGTGAAGATGTAGCTATTTATGGTTCTGAGATTTTCATGAAGTGCTCTATTAATCGAATTGGCATATTCCCAGAGTGTATATGTTATATCTGTGTACTGGTGTATCTTGTCATGTTAGTTTAGGTGTCCTATTGTGTCTGTCATGTTTGCATACCGAAGGATCTTATCTTGTATACAGAACTTGGGTTCACATTTACAATCCTCTTCCTTATCTTTTCAGCGTCACAATCTGTGAAGAAGATTATTGAAATCAATCCGTACATGCTTGGTACAATGGCGGGAGGAGCTGCTGACTGCCAGTTTTGGCACAGAAATTTGGGGATTAAGGTAGTGCTTTTATTGTGTTTTCTTAATTTGAAGCTTACAACTTTAGACTTGTTATCTAGTAATTCTTTTCGAAGGTCTGGACTTATATTTATTCTATGCTCTGTATACTTTCATGTTGCTTGTATGAGGACTTGGATCATCAATATGATTGAGGAACTTATCACAACAGGAATTGTATAGGTAGTGTAGTGGTGACATATTTATGTTCACTTACAAAGGGGATAACAATTGTCTTGTTTAATTTGACTTATACTAACAACCAATTGTCTTGTAAAAATCAGTGTCGGCTTCATGAGTTAGCAAATAAGCGCAGAATTTCTGTTACTGGAGCATCAAAGCTGTTGGCAAATATTTTGTACTCTTACCGCGGAATGGGTCTCTCTGTTGGGACCATGATTGCTGGCTGGGACGAAACAGTAAGAAGATACAAATCATGTCACATGAAATTTTTCTGTCATTTATACTCATGTAATGTGTATCCTTGTTGGAGTGCAGGGTCCTGGACTGTATTATGTTGACAGTGAGGGAGGCCGTTTGAAAGGAATGAGGTTTTCTGTTGGTTCGGGCTCGCCTTACGCTTATGGTGTTCTGGATAATGGGTGTGTGCTTCGCTTTCACCCCTTTAGTTTTGTTTGCCTATTGGTGCAATGATGTTGAACGATTTTTTCTGCATTGTCTTTATTAAGTATATAACAGAAGAATAGCAAGTGCATAGGATTTCTCTACATAATAATCACAAGCAAGTGTTTAGGATTTTGATTATAGATACAAATCACAAGCAAGTGGTAGTGTAAAATGTACATGTTTCCTTACTTTGAACGTCCTGGCTGGTTGAGAAGAAACGTTTGAAATAAAATGAATTTAAAAATAGATTTGGAGGGAGTTGCGAAGGATGGGAGATGTAACTTGTCTACTTGAAATTTGCTTCCCTTATGCTCTGGCCCACTATGCTTTTCCTTTGCTTTGCTTTTGGTAGAGGTTCAATTTGTAATCAGGATAACTAGCATATGGGAATCATTTAAGCCCCTTGCCCTGATGTTGTGGTTGTAGCACATAGCCATGCTTGCTGTTTATCATACTCTCTGTATACTTTGTTATGCACCCGTCATTCTACTAACTCAAGTTGATTCTGCTAGGTACCGGTATGACATGTCAGTCGAAGAAGCTGCTGAGTTGGCTAGAAGAGCTATCTATCATGCAACATTCCGCGATGGGGCCAGCGGGGGAGTGGCAAGCGGTAACTCTCTCTGCCCCTCTCTCTGCACATTCATGACTTTTTATTTGTTTTTAACTGGGGTGTTTTTTATTAGTCTATCACGTGGGGCCAAACGGATGGAAGAAGCTGTCCGGAGACGATGTTGGGGAACTTCACTACCACTATTACCCTGTAGTGGCAGGCTCTGTTGAACAAGAAATGGTTGAAGTCTGATGGAAAATGGGAATACCAAGTGTAGGATTCCATGGCCGATGCTGGGTTTATATGTGAAACTGTTTGTTGTATTAGGATTTTTAAGTTGACTTCACAACCTTGTGATCTTTATTACATTCAATTGCGGATTTCATATCATTTGTTGGTGATGTTATTTCATTTGAATTAGACAGCTGATCACATTCGTGTCCGGTTTTTTGTTCCCGGTATTCCATCTGTTGGTTTAGGCGTTCAGCAAATTGTGTGCATCCCCTTCTGCTATCAATTCTCCAAGGAGTAACTTACACTTCTGTTCTGCTGATCCCACTTATGGATTCACACCTGTGCATTTCACTGCACAAAATCGCAAATTACAGAAACCGTATAACAAGTTTCCTCATGAGCGTTACAATCGACAACCATGACAAGCCCTTTCAAAAGCACAATCCAACCAGACCACGCTCCGAAATCAGAATTTCTGTATGCATGTTTGTTCTCTCTCGTTTTTAATGTACTTCTAGGCTTATACTGACCTTTGCACGTTTGGAACTGCTTTTGTACGAAGCGCTTTTATTACAAGCACACATCTTGACACAGAAACACTTTATTACAACATCAATCAATGTCCAATATTGTGATCCATTTAGGCTTATATTCTCTCCATTTGAAGGTGCTCTTCAAAGTTTTCTGTCAAAGATAGTTAGAAGCACTTTTGGTTGTCCGCAAGCACTTTTCAAGTCCCATTGAATTTCTTTCTTTTATATTAGGGAAGTTGATTTCATGTCATGCATGGACTTTGTTGTGGGGTTATGACTACACTTCCGGGGTTTGGCAATTTGAAGGCAATTTTCTTCAGGGGTCACAATAATGCAGATATTTGGTGCATCCAAACAAGCGACAGCTCGGCAACTGAGGGTCTATGATGGGGATTTGAAGTACTATGCTCACAGTGTGGTAGCTGCTAATATCTACGATAAGTGGGTTAGGCTGAATGTGATTCACAACGTTGCTGCAGGGAAAGTGACAATTTTTATCGACGGGAAACGGAAGTTCGTCGCCAGAGATCATGGCCGAGCAACCTTTTACTTCAAGTATGGAGTTTATGGAGCCTTATATCGTTCAAGTAACTACATGCAATCAAGTTGGAGAGGAATCAATCTTTTCAAAAAAAATGAAATATATATCCATTGAGGGAGAAGAGAAGGGGGAGCTTGATGTACAAAATAGTTTTATACAATTATTCTTGCCTGCGCGCTGCGGCGAGTCGAGAAATTTGTCATGTAAATAAAGAAATATACTAAAAGCTTTAATAACATGTATTTGTGCAAGAAAAAGAAAAAGAAATCTTGTTTATTCTCTCCTCATAAGCACAAGTAAAAATGTCAAAATGTGTCTGGGACCATCCTGGTCTCTTCATGACTCCGCCTCTGATAGTCTCCTAGCATTTTCCTTTTGTGGAATAGTGACCAACCAAAGTATGGGATTCCCGTTTGTGACATGTAATGTAAGCAAAAACCATAAATTTAACAGAACGTGCAACAGATTGCAACTCAACAAAACATTTGAGGTCAATATTACAATATTGTGTAAGGGCGTAAATCTCAAAGGGAGGGAGACTAGTTTTGTGTGACATTCATTGAGGGAGAAAGGAAGGGGAGCTTGGTGTTCAAAATATGATTGCAGATGAAATTGCTATTTTAGGAACATAATTACGACAATATTTGTAGAAAAGTTGGGACTTTGACTACAAAGTGGCCACTAATCGTGGATGACGAATTTAATATCAATTTATTATCTCACTTTTATATATCATCATTGTATAAAAAACAAATATAAAGCGGTGTCATTAAACCTTTGGCAGGAGAAATCTACGAAGCAAATCTTAGGCAAATAAGAAAAAGTGGCACGTACACGCTCCAGCGAGTCTGCAAACAAATACTGAAAAACAAAAACCCAAAACTGGCATACAATCATGGTTGATTTTTCTTTGTTAATAGAGCATACAATTTGTTTTGACCAATAAAATTAAACGCACATTTTTGTTCCCATAAGATTAAGCACAACCAGTTGTTTTTACAAGTATCCATCGCTCTAGTTGCTCCAATCCCTACTTTTTTCCTTCACCTTATTTCATATCTTACTCTTGCTTTTATCTGTTAAAAATCATGTGTTCTTTTATACAAACGATATTTTCTTTACAAAAATTTAAACTACAACGGGAAATAAAACTCAGGTACATGATGGAGCACATTTGCTCTAAACAAAAACTTTCTTCGTTCCCTATACTCTATTATGCCTCACTTTATCCCCATGCTCTTCTTTAGTGTTTCACTTTGCCCATTCTGTGAGAAAAACGTTTAGTTTTATTCATATGGTATGGGCTCTTTGGTATTTTCAACAGTAAATATAAGAATACAATAACGAAATTGTGAGTTTATAATGACAACTTAGGAAAATTGAGCCATTTAGAGTCGTCAGGAAAGACATTTCCAGTAATTTTGGCAAAGGTTATAGTGTTTTTGTTTCCCATGCTAGAGTGATTTTTGTGGATTCAGATGTCGCAATGTGAGAACTAGTTTAAAAGACCAAAATGTCCTTGCCACCCAAACAAAACTAATAGCTCCTTCAACCTGGTTGACAAGATCGGGTAAAGTGAGACACCATAATCATGTAAATGAGAGAGTAAGAATTTGTGTATATCTAAAAAATAATATCGTTTGTTAAAAAAAAAAAAAAAAAAAAGAAAAGAGCCCATAACTGGGTTTTGTGACTCTTGGATTGACTAGAGAGACTCCGGGGGAGCCAGTGAGGTAATTTCATTAATCTCATGGCACCATCCTTTTGAATCCCAGTCACACTAGCACATAATGTTACTGATCCACAAGAAAACAATAATGTTGATAAGTTGTGAAACTCTCTTGATATAAAAAAAAAAAAATAGATGCACGTGTTATAACATAAGTGAATTAATTATCCTCTACCACGTAAATTTTTAATATAAAATGGTGACCAATCCAAATCCAACACAAAACCACTGAATCAGGATTTACAACTGTTGTGTTTTAACGATGAAAAAGAATTTGCAGAATTAACTACGAAGTTGTGTTTGATAAGGTGAACTTCTGCAAGTTGGCGATACCGGTCAACGAGTTTTGATCTGTAAGACTGGAGGGCAGTAACAATTTCAGAAGTTCACGTTATCAAACACGTTCAACTGGTCTCACCCTGAAAAGGCACCTCTCCCAGCAAAGTTTGAGGCTCACCGAACATAGGAGGAGGCCGAGTGTGCGTAGAATCATGGTAATTAAATTGTTCGCCAAGATCATCCAGCTCCAAATATTGCCCATCGTCACCTAGCGGCATTTGACCCGTAGCACAGACAGAATTAGGCAAACTGGAGAAACTACATCCATCTTCATCTACTCTAGCCACCTTGCCGAAATCTCCTAAAGTGACGTAAATATCATTGCTAACGACGTGAGGTGTAGTACTAGCATTTCCGATAGGAACAACATTACCAAGCTCCTGCAAATCATGAAGAAGTTTTACATTAACATACTTCAGAAGTTGAAAGAACACTTGCAAGATAATTTATTTGTACTAATGTACTTACGGAATTTAAATTCGTTCTATAAACAGATACAGATGCATGCATATAAGATATCCAAGATGCTCCAGTATACAATGAAATTTTCAAAAACGAAATTCAAAACCATCAACTTTGCAAATTACGCCGCCTATTTATAAACTCGGACAGTCCGCCATCCAATTTTAAACTCTATCTTCAACAAAAATAACATCTGTACTACAATTATTAACACTGACTTCATGGTCCCAGCTTCCACATAAAAAGTCTAATTTGTATCTTTCAACAAGCTCATTGACATCAGTGACAAAGGCAAAAAAGAAAACTGCATATTCATTGGAAAGCTATAGTAGCGACTATTCCACCACTCAAAAAATGTAAATTCATATCATGATTGGCGGTTCCACTAACTACTAAATCACGACTGTTATAAACTGTTTAGAGAGGAGAGAAGGGTGCATTACGCACCTCATTTTTTTCGTTTTCTTTGATTAAGGAAGGGCTTTCTTCCGAGAAGCAAGCCAATATTGACAGGATATCATCATCATTGGAAGTATGAGGCTCCTCAACTGTAGCATGATTACTGGAAACCAGTTGGGGAACATGGCAAGAAAGTGGTACAACATCTGATATGCACGATTCAGATGAAGGACGTATGTGCATACTTTCATGGGAATACGTGCTAGTAGTGATGGAACTATTGTAGTTACTCGGCAGCACAAGGTTTGGTTCAGGCATATTTGCATTTGGGACTGCTTCTGTACAATTTTCTGAACAATTTTCAGCCTCATCATCACTCCAGTCTTCCTCCATAAGGGGCGCACCATATTGTGCACCATTTTTTGGCCCTGGCCCTTCTTTTTGAAAAATTGTACAGAGCACATACGATTCCTGTAACATGAAAATGATAGAAAAAGTAATCAACACCGACTAGCCATCCAAAGAAGTATAACAAACTGTACAAACCAACAGTCCAATTCAGAAGCATGAAAAAATTCTAATCAGTTGAAACATTCAATAATAACAAATCTTTACAAAAGGAAAGTATATTACAAACTCATTGCAGAGTGCCAAACTAATTTAACAGAAAACAAGGAAGAATACAAAATAATGAGAGGAAAAGTATCATTTACCTGAGGCACGCCACGATTAGCTAGGTCCTTAGATTCAAGCCTATACTCATGCATAACCCAGTCTGTTCGCTCTCCTTTTGGAGCTCGACCTGTATGAAAAATCAATGTTTTTATCTTTCCTGCAACTTCACCATTGTAAAGAACAGATCGGTCATTTCCCGTGGCCTTCCAGTACCCACATTCAGTTGTACGTTTCGCTCTAGCCCCAGTTGGATACTTCCTTTCTGTCGGACAAAAGAAGTACCATTTTAAATCTCCACTTTGCCAGCTAGATTTTTCTGAAAAATTAAAGCACAACAGTCAGAAACTACATAACACAAAGCAGGAAACCCAAGGAAAGGCAAGAAAGAAGATAAGTTAGAATGGAATATTACCTGGAAGATCCCAAGGAGCATACTTATGAATGTCGACCTCTGCAACAAAGTTATAAGGGAGTCTTTTCCCCATTACTTTCCTCTTCAAATAATATTGTACAAGCTCTACATCAGTTGGAGAAAACCGAAAACCAGGAGACAACGATGATTTCCCTTTCCCCATCAGAAAATACAAATGTACACTCTCAACTATCTGACAATAGCCTTAATTCCCAATGTGGAAGTTCGTCACAAAATGCGAAGAAAACAGCGCCCTGCCCTCAAGTCTAATGATGGAACAAGATCTTCCGCAAACACAAGAGCCTACCTCGGTGCATAAAGCAAAACAATCGAATAATTGATGGATGTTTGTCGTTGAGATCAAAAGACATTGGATGCACCCCTGTTATCCAACATTATTAGACACACACACTCGGAAAAAGCAGCAGAAAACTAGAGAAAAATAACAGAATTTGATATCTGGAAAACACAATTCGGGCTATGCACTTATTAAAATTGAAATGATGAAAGCAACACATTTCACATTTAAGATAATGAACCCTACGCACAAACTAGACACGACAATTGTCGACAAAAAAATTAAATAATAAAAAAAGAAGGAAAAATCAAACCAGATCATAAAACCATCAGAATCATCTTAAACAATTAAACCCAAATAGTAAAAACGATCACGAAAGCCGGACAAGGGTAATTAAAACCCAACAGAACCCTAGCCCGCCAAATCAACGTACTTTAATCCACTTTCATCATCTTTCCACATTCACATCCGGAGTTTACCAAATACTCTGTAAGGGAGACTGCAGATAGAAAAACCCTAATTTAAGAAAAAGGAAAGACATTTCATAGCTTAGAGAGAAAGAGAGCGTGATGAGAAAAACCTAACGGTGAAATCATTAGGGCTTGGCGAGAGAACGAAAACAAAATGATCAAAACCTAAAAAGAAAAGGAAAATGCTGAGGTCGACGTAAACAGTGAACGAAGAGAGAGAAATGTACCTTACGATGGAGGGAATTGGCGACGGCGGAAGGAATGGGGAAAGCGGCGTCGACGGCGGGAATGGGAGGGCGGGAGTGGAAGCGCAAACTGGAAGAGAGATCTGCTTCGGGCGAGTTCAGGTGTACTCGTTCTCCATGATCGGGGTTTAAGGGGTTTAGGGGTTTGAATCCTTTGACAAAAATGTTTCTTTTTATTATTTTATTTTTTTGGCGTAACTGAAACAGAGGTTTTATAGACATTCTGGCCTGACCCAGATGCAGTTGGGCTTTAAAATCCTCTGCCCAAATGCAGCCCGGACGTAGATGCTATGCTCCCTCTTTCGATTTTCTTACTCAACTCTTAATTTTTTATTTTTTTATACAATCATACATTTACGCTATCAGGTGGGTTCATGAGGTTCGAACTAATGACCTTCCCCTAACAAGTGAAGAAAAATTATACTAAACTGTAATATCAAGTAACTATTCAACTCTCAATTTGTTTCTTAATCCTTTTAGATCGTGCCAATTTCTTCACACCACATCTTAATGTATCACATTTTTTTATTATTATTCATGCTCCGAGAAAGGGAGAAAATAATTGCCAATTTGATAAAAATAATTAACAAACTTGACAGTAGGGACAAACACAAAGTTGGCAGCTTTCCGAGGATGGGGGTTCTCTCCCCTCCCGTTTTCCTTTCCCTCCCGCCCTCCCCCCTCTCATGGGTTTTTTTCGTCTCTCTTCCTCTACTTTTTTTTTTTTCCTTCTCTCTCTCTCTACAAAAATGAAACCTTGAACGTTCAAATAGGATGAGAGGAAAATTGAGGAAAAAAAAGGGAAGATAATCTTCGTCCACTTCTCAAAGCCCTTAGATAAGTTGTTTGCACTCTAATCGAAATTCCTCATTTCACATTAGTCGGATTTAAATATTAAAAGACGAAAATAAACATTTCGTCCTGTTAATGCAAAAAACTGGTAAGGTTAACAAGTAGATGGTTGTGATAGGGTTTAGAGTGAGAATGCAATTGGTTGAATGAGTTAGATAGTCAACCCATTCCTAACAAAATTCCTAATTTAAGTTTGAGTTAAGGTTCATGCAGGTTTATTTAGGTTCGAGTTTAAATTGAGTTCGGCCTTACTCGAGTTAGGTTCGATTTTGTGCAACTTTATCAAGTTCAATCTTGTCACACATTATTTTATAAGATAAACTAATCTCAAATTTTGAACAAAAAATACCATTTAAAATTCAATTTTACACATCAACCATACAAAACATAAACCAAATAGCGTGAGACGAATTTCTAAATGTTCAACCATGCAAATTTGAAACTAAATTACAAATACCAAGTTTTAACCAAAAGACACGTAAAGGTAACACTATCATTTACTGTTCAAATGAAAACCAAACAACAAACTTCAAGTATAGCCCTTTGAAACTTTGTAACTAGCTTATATAGTAGATATGGATAGGTAACATGTGCATAAGCAATTCAGGCAAGAAATGGAGTTAGGTTTGGGTCCACATGGGTGGAAAACCATCAACCAAACCCAACCCAATAAATAATCTGGTTGAAGTCGTGTTGAGTTTGTGCAGGTTTTTACTTCATTCTAAACTGCCCGATTGGGTTTGAAATCGGATTGGGTATGGACATATTCAAATTGCCCCAACCCAAGTTGTACCCCTAGTTTTTAGTAAGAAAACCAGGAGGTTTTAGGGTTTCTTAGGTGAAATACAAGAAGAAAACAAGAATCAAAGGGTACATATGTGGCACCGGCCTAACTGCTCTGATGTCTTTGACAATATATAAGAGGTAGAGAATAATCTAGGGTTAAGAGAGACGAGTGTTTGTATTCTTTCTTTTTTGTTTAGCCTTCTTTAGGTATTCCCCTCCATCTTATTTAGGCCTCGGCATACAACAACAACGACAACAACCAAACCTTATCCCACGGGGCCTCAACATGATTCTATAAAATTATTTTCCCTCGATCCTAGAAACACCATGTTCAAAAATAATCACTAAGCATCAAACAATTAAAATTTGGACTGCATTAGCTTTTGAAACAGGTGCAGCTATCGACCGGAGCCTAGCATCCGTAGCCAGTTCAATGTAAAAACATTCTACTACTACGTTTGATAAGAAAATGGTACATGCAATATATGCGAGACCATCAAACAAACATTAAAGCAAGAATCATAACACTTCTTTTAGATAACTGAAAACAGCTGCAAAGATAAGCACAATATAAATCCTCAAATGCAAATCCCAGCTCGAACGAGTAGAAACATACACAGCATCATCCATATACACCGCAAAATTTAATCAGCCACTCCAACCATTTCCAGAACCAAACAAGTCATCACTTTCAATCTCGGAAGCAAATCACCCAATGCCTAACAAATGAATAAAATTGCAAGCAAACATAGCGAAACCAGAAATGGCCACTGCCAAATATTTCAATATTATCGAATCTATCTTTACCTAGAGTTCAGTTCCAAGTAATCCCAAAAGTGTACTGGACAATTATCGAAGTATTGATGCTAACTAAATGGAACTTCTGGAGTTTCAAGCAAAGTTCCTATCAAAATGAGGACGCGTGTCGTGTCCTTTTACATGGCAAACTCATAACGAGTCAATAAGTCACTGTTCCACGAGTGATGAAACAAATTTATAAGGGAAATTGTAACTTCAAAGTTTTCAACACGTTCAGAATGTGTACATTAACATCGTACAACAATTATTCCTTTTTCACAGTATACAATTAGACCTTGACCTACCTCATTTCTTATCAGTTCAGTGACAACCAAAGCATTGACATGCGATTTTGAAGGCATGATTCTATGATCTCATAGGCTAGTCCTGTCCAAGAATAAATCATCAGAAACATCTAAATTTAGCGTGCCGTGAGGTTTAATTCATCTCCGCTGTGGTTTAGCAGTAGGTGAAACCGGACATCCAAAGTGCAAAATCAGGAAAGCCGCAAAAGTACAGACAAAGAAACCTAAATGAGGATAGTTTGAAAGAGAATCCCAAGCCACTACAATCTTTTGATTACAACCAGAAAGCAAATGGAAAAGATTACCAATTTCCAGCATAAGGTTTGAGATATCCAGTCACTTAGACTTCTTTCCTTGCTTCTTCTTAATAACTTCGTCGACATACATTATACCCTTTCCCTTGTAGACCTCGGGTGGCTTACAACTACGAACGGCGGCAGCAAACTGGTGCACCCTATCTTTATCAATTCCGGTGCAGCAAACTACATTGTTCTTGAAGCAGAAAACCCGAACAGCAGGAGGAACGGTCAATTCAACCTCATGACTGTAACCCAATTTCAGATACAACATGCGTCCTTCGGCTTCCGCTCGGGCCTTGTAACCCACACCCACAATCTTAAGAAATCGAAAAAATTTGGCTTCCATTTGAATAGATGCTCCTGAAAACACCCAAACCCAGTAATCATTTCGTCTTACTGTTATCAAATTAAGCTAATTTTAATCCTGTTTCCCTTTTTTCCAGTCTACAATCTTCAGTTATTAAATTCACATTTCAAACCACATCCTAGCAACATCCGCGTTCCGATACAATAAATTGGAAAACAAAATAAAAAACCCAGAAAATTATAAAAATTCAAAATTTTGATCGACCAAATTTTCTTCAATCTCACCGAGCACTAAAAATCCAGCATGCATGTTTGTTATGTATGTATAAATCTGTTTATATATACTAAATATATATGTAGAGAGAGAGAGAGAGTAAGCAACTGGAGATTATTGCAACCACTAAGAGGTCTTAGGCATACCTATTAGCTGCTGAACCCCTTAGAGTGCGGCAGTCGTCGTCGTCGGCGTCGGCGGAAGGCTGAAGTTTTAATGGGTTCAGAGGAGGAGGAGACAGCTTTGAGAGACCCAAGGAGACTTGAGTGTAAAATCGAAAGTTGGCTGGGGATGTGAAATAAATTGGACTGCATTGTTGATTCAAAGCCCAATGTTTGTCCTCTGGATCGGACCTAAAGCCCAATAATTTCAGCATACTGCATTGGGCTATTGATCAAATTGATGAAGCGCTGATCCAATGCGGTAACCGACTGATTCCCGCACCTTTTTTTTGACCTTTTACACTCTTTTTCTAATGAACTCCCGTACATTTGTGGTAATTGGTATGAAATCATAACATTTACATTACTATACCATGTATAGTTATTGTCACGTTGAGAATCTGTGATATTTAGGTGCGACTATTAGAATTAGACTTGGCAAAATTGTGCACTACTCGATAACATGATACAAACACGTGAAAAGATCAGTATATAGGTCGAGCCTTAAAGGGTCATGTTGATAACAAATGGACTCGTTAGTGACTCATTAGGAAATTATGTTAATGTATGTTATTTTTATTTAAGATATTGAATATATAAATTGGATATGAACATTTTTGTCAATTAATAATTTTATCTCTTTGAATGTTTGGTTATACACATTGCTTGTCACACGGTTGGGGATTTGGGATAGAGTATTTAGGCTGAATTACATAATCAGTCAATCATAATAAGATATTGAACTCACAAGGGCTATGCAGTACTAGATTTACAGCGTTATTTGTGTCATATGATTATTTTACTTTTTGTATTATCAAATGTGAACTGGACAGTGTGAATATTGTGAATTACCCTTTTGATCACGACAACCCACCACTTGTAAACGTACGTTTAATCTTAAAGTAACTGTTGGGTTGGTTGAATTGCAAACGTAAATTAATGCGTTACTATTTGAAGGGAATTTGGTGTTTTGTTTCATATGTTCTTCATTAACTAGTGTTGGTTGCATTGTCACGGTCCTCAACTGATCACAAATAAAGTGTTGCTTGCATATCGAGATCGGTTTATGCTTTGTGAATATGAAATAGTCATATAACCAGAAAAATTAACCATAATAATTACAGCAATGCAAAAAAAGTTACCGCCAATTGGTTTAATTTTGTACATAATTTTGTTTAATTAATTAACTTTTAGTTTGACTTCAAACAACTTCAGTTGCTGAACCAAATGGTCGAGTCTCACATAGGTTAGTTTTCTAGTACAAAAGTTTTTCATACCGCAAACAGGTATTCGACGTCCTATATCAATTCTTTCTCCTTCCAGGGCCGAGGGGAGAGCGAGAGTCGAACTCTGATCAGACAGAGTTCTTTCGTTGCTACCCGCATGCAGAAATGGTTGCTCCAGAAACCAATTATACTCATCATCAAGTACCCCAAGTAACCGTAACAAAAGTTGTTCTTTCGTTGCTTGCTGTTCTAGGGTTTCTTCTCTACTTGTTTGCCGGTCTTGTGTACATGTCGGAAACCTATTCTCCGAAACCCAGTTCCCTTAAAGTGCTTTTGCATTCTTTGACGACATCAAACTTCCGTCTCAAATCCAGACAGCCATTGAACGCCAGCGAATGGGAAGCAACCATAACGATAAAGAACTACCACGCGGACAACATCAAAATCCTCATCAACAGCCTCGAGAGCGTCCTCTATTACAAAGACAAAGCAATTTCATGCGCGTCGCAGCCCAAAGTGCCAATACGAATTCAGAGCCATAAACAGCGGACAGTGAACCTGATATTTAAGAATTCATCATGTCCGGATGGTCCTTCTTCGAATCCTGCGCTAAATGACGAGGCGATTAGAGAAAGGTGGAGATCAGGGCGTCTGAGGTTTAGCATGCAGATGAAGATGGTGCTTGCATCTGACATTATTAGATCACCTTTTTTTGGCAGATTTTCAGTTCTTGATTATAGGTATTTAGAGGCATTGCATGTTGAGTTTGTGCATGGAATAAGAAAGGGGAGATTGGTTGGTGGTGATGTACAGATGAAGAGAAATTCCACTTTGTCCACTCACACTTATTAATCAATTCCTTTTAGATTACTTATTTGATTTTTTTTTTTTTCATATTATTTTTCTTCGACGTTTGGGGTTTAGGGTTAATTAAAAGGGTGAATAGATTTCTTGTTCGTAATCAATCAATTTTTTTCTTTCAACTTATTCAGAAACCCAGAAATTCATACATCTCTGGTGATCATACATCTCTTCTAGAGTTAAATTATCAAAACATATATATTTGGACTAGGTTGAGTTTTAACAAACTAAACGTAAACTCAGATTACAAGCGGTGGATATATTACATCTTCATATTCAACTCATTGTGTCCCAGATTTAAATTATTCCCCTTCCCGTATTATAGCTAGCATAAGATAGCCTTGCCAATCTTGATGGCTGACTCCAAAATTTAGGAGACAAAATTATATGCGTAGAGAATGAGATCCACGCTGATGCCGGTGAATACGCAAAGCATTCAGTGGGTCTTTTGGGGTTTGAGGCAAAAAGGGGATGGATGATTCGAGGTCACGGAGGAGGAAGAATGGAAGATGTATTAAGATTTGAGAAAGATCAGAGTTGGATTAATGGTCCATCACTAATCACACTGACAAAGTCCCGAACTTTATTCATTACTTGTGGAATTCAACAAATGTAAAGTTTTATCATAAAAAATCTCGGTGAAATAGGAGTGAGACAATTTGATTTAAGTTGTGGTACGTTATGTACTCGTGTGAGACTTTTTTACGTTAGTCAGCTAAAAATTCTTCAGCACCCCTACCATTATGTCCACCATATACTACCACCATCTTGTCATTGTCTTCACCGCTGTCACCACCCTTGCTAACCTTACATTGTGATGCCACTACCACCATCTTTCCATGGCCGTTGCCACAATCTTGCCATGCTGATCACCACCACCGTCCACTTCCACCTCTAAACACAACATCGTCTACAAGCACAACCATCACCACACCCCTTGCCATGCGTCATCAGCACCTCTAGAGACTCTTGATGGAACAACAATTTTTTGTATGCTAATGTAATTGATTGCTTCTTTCAAATATGTGTCTGATGCTAAAATAAAATGTCTGCAAAATGCAGTATCATGCAGTTCATTCTATGCATAGAGATTTTAAATTCTATCTCGGTCACACGTTGATCTTTTAACATTGTGTTTCGAAATGTTTTTGAGCTGTTTGGATCTTCAAAATGATGGAACTTTAGAAGGTAGATTGGAATGGTTAAACTTGTTTTTCAGGTAATCCATGGGTGATTTTCCGATCGATTGCATCGGAAATAAGGTTTCCAATTTTCATTTCAAAGATTTATGTGGTTAAATGTAGAACCTAAGAATAAACTATCAAAACTAACAATAAACATGATAAAAATACACAAGTTTTAATTTTTTGTGATTCTTATAGTGTGAGTTTGTAACATTTTGGGGAAAAAATGGAAATTTCAAAATCTTTAAATGCATTCCAATTTCTAACCAAATTATTCGGGACTCAGATTTGGAAATTTAATGACAAAAATTGAAAAAAAAAAATCCAATACCACTTGCACTAGGCTAATCTGTTAAAACAGATCCAAATTCCCCCCTCCCATTTTCTATCTCCTCCAGTCCTCTTTTATTTGAAGGCTCATAATGACGTCATGTCATCTTATGTTGACTTCTTCATAGAGAGAGATGGAGGAAAGTGAGGAGGGGAGGGGTTAGAATTTGAAGGAGAGAATTCTACTCCCATCTCTAGATATGTAGTGGTTGTAGATATGGACCTGATGTGATAAAAGCGACAATGGTAGTGGTGGCAACGGAAGTGGCATTGATCTGACGTGACGTTAATGGTGGCAACGGAAGCGGCATTGATCTGACGTGACGTTAATGGTGGCAATGGTGGCGGCAATACTCACAAAAGACGTGAGTTTGATGTTAATGGTGGCAATGGTGGCTGCGATACTCACAAAAGACGTGAGTTTGCGCATTCCGCCACAATGACATCACCATACCATTACACACAAACTTGAAGTGCGAATTCAGATTCACACTTACAATCAAAGATGGAAAGCACAAGTGAAGTCCGACAGAAGGAAATGAAACCAAACATTTATTGAGAGTTTGAGAGTTGTTCTAAATAAGCACACATACAAGAACAATTGCCTTGTTTTTGGCAAAACACATTCTGGACATCTCAAAAAAAAAAAAAAAAAAATACATGACCTAAGACTGCAGCAGGGGTTCTCAATAATTACTGCACAAGACGACGACGTTTATATATTAACCCCTTATTCAAAAAGGGAATAGAAATTTATAAATCAACACTGAAAAACTCCTTTATCTTCCCATGGGATTACAGACAGAACTCAATACAATCCCCCTTCCAAAATCCATGTATCAAAGAATTAACGAACACTTTGCAAAACAAATTCATGTGTCTGATCCAATCCCTTTGTATCTACACGCAACCAACCGCCCACGATTGCTCTAACCGTGAAGATTTATCTTTGAGAACAGAAACTGTTTGAAACAACTTTACCTTCCTTCAGCCGTGCACTTGGAACTTGGATCTTTTCTTGCTCTGTCCAAACAGCTTTTCTACACAACTCACACTGTATAGCGTGCGTACCTCAGTTACAATCCAGCCCGCAAACTTCTAGTACAATGCCACCTTTGCTCACAAATGGGTTGATTCGGACCCATAGCAGGGAGAATATGGATGCCAGAAGAATTGACCACACCACAATGATGGTGGGAAGTCTCTCTTGTCTTCCCACCAAACCTTTTAGGAACGGGTAAAGATGGACGATGACCCAAATGGCAAAGAACAGCCTACCAAAGAGAGGACCCCATGTTTCGTAACCATTGTTGATGGCATCCGAAACTCCAACTACGACTCCAATTATGTTTATGATCAATAAGCTCATGGGCGGGATCAAAAGTGATGTCCACTTGAAGAGGTATAGGTCGGAAAACTCTCCGTCATCTGCTGCTTTGGATGTGACAGTGAAGTTTGTGTTAACACCACCCAAAACCTTGAGCAGACCCTGGATGAGTGCGAAGAAGTGTGATGATGCACCA